CTCTTCGAATGATGCCTTTTCATTGTTGCTCATTTTGAAATACAGATCTCCTTCCCCTAAAATTTTGTTCTGGAAGTGACCCGCTTGGGTGCTTTATGATCCTTTAGTTGCATTAAAAACACAGTACATATATATCATAAAACTTTTTTATTTTTTATTTTATTTTTTAAAACTTTTTAAAAATAACATTAGATTATATAAATGTTGCAAGCCAACTCATTGCCATTTACAGTCAGTGATTACCATACTTTTGTGTGTGTGTGTGATTACCATACTTGAGACTATTGTTCCCTACCTGAAATAAAACCTGAAAGTTGAGCCTGTAGTGCTGCAGCTGCAACACTTAAATTCTGTCCCCAAAAAAGCTAACATCCACAGGAATACTTTCTATATCCCTCAGACAGGATTTTTAAAATATTTTTGTTTAGGTTTTTGTTTTGCCAAAAAGTAATTCTCAGTTTGCAATCCTGAAAGAAAAACCACAGCACCTTTTCTCTTTTCCTCATTTTTTTCAGAAAAACTGTATATTAATTTGAGTGTTCCCATTCACCTGGAATAGGGTTGTTTTCTTTCAAATCATTTCCAAAATTCTACATGACTAAAAAATGAAAGTGAAGCTAAGAAGCAATTACTTTAAATTTGGCCCGCTCAAATTCTATGTATCGTATGCTATAACCCTGTTGGGTAAAATTAAATACACTTCTTTAAAGTTCCATCTGTGTTTCTAATGATTCTTTATCAACCAGCAGGTTTGTCCACTTGCTGGACTTAAGAGAATGGACTAGTGCCGTGTGTTGATGCCAGGCCAGTCCACACATTCCTGTGGAAAGACTGGACCTGGCCTCATCAGACTGAGATCCCTCCAGTGAGAATTATTTTGGTTGGAATGCAAATGAAAGACATAAAAGAAGTTGAGATCTTAAATTCCAAAATAGTCAGTCTTTCCATAACACAGAGACTTTAATCTTTAGCTCCATTGCTTTGAATTCTTAAATAGAGTCATTTGTAGCAAAGGGCTGATGGATATTTTGTTAAGGCCGGGTAAAGCTATTAGAAATGCTCAGCACAGACTAACTCTTCATTTAGCCAGAGAAGCTCCTGAGTTTATCGAAAGTAGACCTAAGCTCTCTGTGCAGAAGAGTCCTTATGGCCCTCTGACTAATCACTTGTTGCTCGGCCCTACCTGGGCTGGTCTAACAACAACCATGTAAAAACATACTGTAGAAATAGGTGGGACATGACTTTCTCTAATCTGAATTTAAATCTTGGCCTGTCATTCAGCACATAGTGTTGTTAAGTATGTCTTCAGTGTTGTGCTGAATGCTACGTGAAATTTAAAGTAAGATAAAAATTCTCAAGTCCAGCTGCTGATTCCAACAAGCTTTTGGTTTTGTAGAGCAGGCTAAGCAGACATGACATAACTAGAGGTCAGTTCCATATGATGTAGGATGCTGTCTATACAGTGAATGCTAAAAGAAGTCAGGGATAAGAAAGAGCCCTGAACCAAACTACTCAGAGAAGTGCCTAGACAAGTGTGAGATGAGCTAGTCTAAGGGAGCCTGACGTTTGGATTGAGCTGGTAGGAAATGAGCAAGGGTCATGTGACTGGACGATCCGATACCCTGAAACACTGGCTCACCATGCAGAAGGGTGGGGGAGCTGCAGTTGGAGACAGCAAGGGGTGCCTTGTCTGTAGAGAATTTATAAACAATAACAAAAAACTGCTTTCTCTTACCACCATTCCTAAGAATGGCAAATATAAAATACTCCTCCCTGAAGGGAAGCTGTTCCCACTGCAACACCCCATACACCCCCTGCCTTGGTATACCAGCATCCCGGAGTTTCTGCTAACTTCTACTGCTATACTGGCATTTTAGAGGAGGTGCACAAACGTCAGGCCATGGTCCTTGTTCTGGAAGTCAGACTAAAGGCGTTCTAAGCTGGAGATTCCACGCTTGCAGACAGGCTGTCTGCCCAGCACTGTATTTAACCTTCTTTTGAATTAATTGTCACATTTGTAAATCTGGGAGATATCATATAAACATAAACTTTGAATTTGTGAATCTCTGGCTTGTCCTGAACTTTTGGAAGATCAGCATCACTGAGGCACCACAGTGGGAGCCGTGACTGACGAGCCCTTGGCTGGTAGCGCCCTTGGCTGGTAGCGTGGCCCCAAGCCTTCAGATCCCCAGCTCCTAGCCCCCACCATGGGCGCTCATGACCTCCACCTCCACCCCCACTGCTGCTCTCACACTTCTGTCTCTTCCCCTGCCAGCTGGAGCACAAGCTCCATCTCCTGGCTGGTTTGGGGCCTTAAGGTTTCTCCCTTCATCAATAGCATCAGCCCAGGGCCACCAGGCTGACCCTCTCTAAAACTGCTTTCAAGAAACCAACCAAAGCTCAGAAATCAGAAAGGTTTATTGCTATTTTCTCACCAGTTTTATATTGAATTTTATTTCCCATTATAGTTGCCGCTTGAACAGCAGGTTTGAACTGCATGGGTCCACTTATATGTGGCTTTTTGTCAATAAATACACTATAGTAAATGTATTTTCTCTTCCTGATGAATTTATTTTTTTTTAAGATTTGTTTATTTATTCATGAGAGACACAGAGAGAGAGGCACACACAGGCAGATGGAGAAGCAAGCTCTCCATGGGAAGCTTGATGCAGGACTTGATCCCAGGACCTCGGGATCACGACCTGAGCCAAAGGCAGATGCTCAACCAGTGAGTCACCCAGGCATCCTTCCTTATGATTTCCTTACTGTCACGTTCTTTTCTCTAGCTTACTTTATTGTAAGAATACAATAGATTACACATATGCAAAATGTGTGTTAAACTATATTATCAATAAGACTTTAGGTCAGCAGTAGGCTATTAGAAAGTAAGTTTGGGGACAGTCAGAAATTATGTATGGGGATACCTAGGTGGCTCAGTCAGTTAAGCATCTGACTCTTGGTTTCTGCTCAGGTCATAGTCTCAGGGCCGAGCCCTCTTGGGGCTCTATGCTCAGTGTGGAGTCTGCCTGAGATTCTCTCTCCCTGCCTCCACCCCTCCTACTGGTGCGTTCTTTGTCTCTCTCTCTCTCTCCCCAATAAATACATCTTTAAAAATAAATAAATAAAATTTATGTATGGATATTTGACTGTATGGGGTGAGGGGGGTTGGTGCCTATAACCCCCGTGTTCTTCAGGAGTTACCTGTACTAATCCTGTCACCACCTGCACCCTGTCTGGCCAAACTTGTCTACTTGCTGATTCCCCACCCCTCTCACTTAGCATTTCCTGTCACCTTTGCTGTGCCACTCCGAAGCTGTCTAAATACTGCCTGGTAGAGGGTCCTCCTCACCATTCCTGATTGTCTGCCCACTGATTCTGAGCTCCCCTTTACATCTCTAAAATTGGCTCATCACTGGCAGACTTATCTCCCCCTTCTTAAGAGCAGGTGTTGGGCAGCCCAGGTGGCTCAGCAGTTTAGCGCCACCTTTGGTCCAGGGTGTGATCCTGGAGACCTGGGATCGAGTCTCACATCGGGCTCCCTGCATGGAGCCTATTTTTCCCTCTGTTTCTCCCTTTGCCTCTGTGTGTGTGTTTGTGTGTGTGTGTGTGTGTGTGTGTGTGTGTGTCTCATGAGTAAATTAAAAAATAAAATCTTTAAAAAAAAAAGAGCAGGTGTAATAATGTGAATTGAGTGGTGGCAAGATAAAGCCTTTTAGGAAGAATTAGGATCTAGATTTTGCCCCAGAAAAGTATTCATAGGTCCTGTCAGTGATATAGGCCAGGAGGCTGGAAGCTTTTTGGCAGCAGAGCTTCAGACTGAAGGTCTCAACCCAGGATCTGGCCCACAGGGACTAAGAATCCAAACTGAGTCTAGACAAGAGATCAGGACTTGGCAAGGAGCTGGGGCACCGACATTGTGTCCCAGAGCCCGGAATAGGTCCCAAATCCAGAGGGTCCATTATTATTTCCTGCCCAGAGTAAAAGCCTGCATCAGAGTAGAGAGATAGCAGAGGAAGGAGGGAGGACTCTGCCTGCTGTTGTCTCTCACCCTCCCATAGGACAGAGCACATCTCCTTTATCCTTGTGCTGTCAGGCACAGGGCTATCAAATGGATCCAGTAACTTAACCGACTATAGAAGTAATTACAAATTAGTAATATTTTGCTAATGTGTTGCTTTAGGAGTTGTTTCATTTTCATTTGGGGTATATATCTAACATTCTCAACTGTGATTGTCTCCTTTGAAGTAGAAATACGTTTTGTTTTTTATATCCTATCCAATAGCTTTTCAGGATCATGCTTTCCATCAAATAGACACTTTTTAAAAGGAAGTTACTAGCCAATCTCTTTGGAGGCTAATGGTGCAATGACAGGCCTAACTAGAAACAGTGGCCAAATTGTCAAACTCTGCCAGTCCCCTGGTAGACTGGAAGTAGATAATGAAGGCTCAAGCCCCCTTCCCACGCCTTCCTGTTCTTACTAAGAGTAAAGAAAATTTTATTGTAGTGGATCTGAATGGAGAAATCATAGTCATTTTTCTGCATTCGGAAATAGAGGACGTAACCTATACTTCAGTCAGCAGTTTGCAATTTCTTAGCAGTGACAATTTAAGTAAATTTCACACAAGTTGTGGAGCTCTAACTTTGTTATGATTGACAATATAAAATTAGCCTTTTCTGCTGTTAAGATTATCTAGCATTCCTATCAGTCAGCTGCAATGTGGAATGAGATTGCACAGCTGTAGATTAAGCAACATTGAAGTCTCCAAAGGGTTAACAGTTACTTCCTCTGATGGATTTAAAACTGCCACATACCCACAAACAAGTTTTTCAAACTGCCCCATTTTACATTTTTGTCGAGAGACAGTCTAGTTGCTGCATTTTTATGTCTAGATTATATTACAGATATATTTCAATAAACCACGAAGAACCGCCATAGATTCTAAAAGCGGGCCGTCTGTGCTTAAATAAACATCTCATGCAGCACCTGTTTTATTTTATAGGCTCTATAATCACAGTGACATTCTGAAAGAAGACCTTGAAGCCTGCAGAGCAGCTGTCCTTCACCAGCTTCCGAGACTCTTACCTGAGGGTAGCAGCGATGAAAAACAAGTCAGGTATTAATCACTGCTGAGGTGGAATGACTATTCTTGCTCCAAGATCCTTACAAATGTAAAGGATCACAGAGTTGCAGACTGCTAGCTCACATGGTTACCACTGGGGTAGATGCTTGCAGTTGTCAATTTAACTTTTTTACAAACTGTATCATTTACTTTTTTGTAAGAGTATTTGTTTCTGTTAATTGGATATATCCACTCAATTCCCTGCTCATAGCAGTGTTTTAAGGGCTTATTTGTGGAGTGTGAGTACAGGTAGCCTTTGACTGGCATATTAGCATACCTTGAGAACAACCCAGTATATGATCCAGGGTAGCCATCGCCTACAGAGATGCATTCCTCAGTATCCAAGGTCATGCTAGTGATGCAGACCTCCAGTCTGTAGGTGTGGTCACTGGACCAGCAGCCTCAACAAGACCTGGGAACTTGTTAGAAATACGTGTTTTGGGGACCCACCTCAGACCTACTGAATCAGGAATCTGGGGGTAGGGTGTGGCCATCTGGATTTTAATAAACCCTTAAGGGAACTCTGTTTCTTCAAGTTTGAGAGCCACTATTCCAAAGATATGCCTTAAATGGCCACAAATCTGGGATAAGACAAAGAGAGAGGGAGTTAATTAAATGTAGGGTAGTTGGCACATATGAACTATATATAACTCATATATTTTCCTAAGTCACTCAGAAATCCATTCCATACTCTCTACCCACCTTTTAGGCAAGCTGGGTTTCTTTTCTTTCATGACTCAAGTTCTGTGGCATTAGGCCACTTACTGAGTTCATAGAATCACAAATGTGTAATGTGCGTAATGGTTTGTCCAGTACTCTCATCTGGCAGGTGCCTAATTTATGTGGCATAAATGTTGCCAGTGTTCTTTGATTTGTATTTTGAGGATTGACTGTTTCCTCTTATAAAAATTTGTCCTACCATTTACTAGCAGAGAACAGATTATTACTCAGACCTGGTCAGCAGATGGGTGTCTGTGAAAGCCTTTCTGCAAGGACCTTCTGTGGCTGAGAGCATGGGAGGGGCTCTTGGGGTCTGCTTATCTTACTTCCAACATCACCTTCTCTAACTTTAGTGCACCAAGTAGGCTGTTTTATGTTCGCGTCTTTCTTTAGAACAGAATTCAGCCTGTCTAGCATGTATTGGATACCATCAAGGCATGAGAAATGAGGATAATGGTCTCTAAAAGGGCCTTATCACAAGAAAACTTGGCCAATTGAATGTTTCCATTTCACAAACCACGATGAGCTTCACAAGTCCTGAGTGTATTTAATTTACCTTCTGTATCTCCACTAGTGATCCCCAAACTATAAGAAATGTTGGAAATGACCTTCCTAGTCAGTAGCTTTTCAGCCTAAAGCAGTAAAGGCAAGAAAATCCACTTCCATGTATTTATCATGTGAAATAAAAAACAGCAGTCTTAAAATACTCCTTTACAAGGTAGTGGAAGAAACTGCCTGGGAGGAATCTTCCTGAGCTCTATAGGTTGATTGGTGCTTTTGTGGTGTAAGGCTCTTTGTCCCTTTTTCTTTCTCACTGCTTTTTATATCTGTTGATATACTATTTGGCATAAACCACAGTTGTGGCATGTGGCATAGGAAGCATATACGCATTTATAATTCTCATACAAACGGACTTGTTAGACTAGATGATTCATTGTTGGACTCTCTTAACCTAGGTTGCCAAACTGATTGTGGGTGAGAAGATATAATATCTACATCTACTAGACTAACGTTTGTTATAGTTTCTCAACATGCATGATGGAGGATTGATTTTCATTATGAAAAGTTGCATTTTATATGACTATTGATCTATAGTTGTGTATAAATCAGCCTTCCCTAAGAAATGATTCTTCTTATAACCAACACAAATTTTAAAATTAATATCTGGAGGCTTCAAGACTGGTTACCACCATCATTTTTTAAAGCTAGATAAAGAAGTCAAGAATGGTTACTAATGTCAGTGTTATGTTCTGTTACAATTAGAATTGTCCCATGTACTGTGACTGGCGATACTATTTAATGCACACTGATTGTCACTGCTTCACTGTCTAACCTTGGAAAAAGTGCCAACTCTTTATAGGACCTGTGAGAGACAAGTAGTCAGGTCTTTAATACATGTTCTTTTTAATGATTTTAACCATGGCATCTGACTCCACCCTGCCGTCCTTGCTCTAACCAGCTCCCTGCACCCCTCAACACCCAGTAGTTCTTGCTGGATACTCCTCTAAGTGAGATATTCCTGTCTGCTTGGTGATCTGCCCTGGACCAAACCAGTCAATTTGATAAACCATTCCAGAAACACATTCAGAGAGAATGATCTGCTTCTGTTCCTTGATTGCTAATGATTCTGGTGTCATTGAAGTCTAAGCCAGGCAGAGTAGGAAGCCTCTAACAAGTTATGAACTCCTTAAAACCCATTGAATAGAACCATGTTTGATGTGGCCAAAGTCCTGCTTCTGCCCCTGACCAAACCATGGCAATGGACATCTGTCTCTTTAATCTCATCTGTAATATAGGACCCCTGCCCCATAGTATACTCTAAAAGATAATGTGAAGACTTCCAAATTCCTGCTCATAAAATGAAGCATCTTAGAAGAAAAAAAGACCAAAACCATTACTATCATCATTATTGATTTAGTGTTCAAAGACCTTCATTTGAAAGAAAGATTTTCTATTAGGTAGGGGACCAAGTCTCTATTGTAGACAATTATGAACCACTAAAATATGATTCATGACATTTGGAGTACTTGATAAAAATTTTTGTTCATCATTGCCTTTGGGAAAACATTTTAACATAAAAACAATTACTTAATAAGTAGTTTTATATGATGAACCATTATGAGACTGTTTTATTTTTTTTCCAGGTGCAACTAATTAATTGTCTCTCTTAGTGGCTATTCTCAAATACAGTTGCCCAATTGTGTTCTCAAACTCATGCTTAAAAATTGAGTCAGCTTTATATTGTTTGAATTACAGTATGTAAAAACCTCTTTATTTTATTCTGCCTGTATTCAGAATGAAAATCAAGGTGTTTATTAATTTGTCTGCATTTAAAACTTTGGTTGGTCAAATTACCAATCTGTTGTAAATCAGTTGTGGTTAAGAAGTTCTGGTACGTTTGTGTTAATTGCAGGTTTCTGATTGGAAGCCATTCCAAACATATGAAATTAATTATAGATTCGAGTCTCATCTTTTGTTATATATATATATTTTTAAAGATTTTATTTATTAGAGAGAAAGAGAGGGCATGAGCAGTGGGGAGGGGCAGAGGGAGAGGGAGAAGCAGGATCCCTGCTGAGCCAGGAGCCAGATCATGACTTGAGCCGGAGGTGACTCTTAACTGACTGAGCCACCCAGGCGCCCCTCTTTTGTTATGTTTTTAATTAGAGGAGTATAACACTTAACTGACATCAAACTTTGTTTTCTCTCTGTAACACCGATATTACAAATTTTCCAAGAAAGTGGGCAAAAGTGGAAAAAAACCTTTTTAAGTTCTTTGTACCACTTTGCGAACTTTCTGATTTGGTGTATATATGTAGAACCATGGGAACACCTCATGCAAAGACAGCCATGGCTCTTGCACTCCTTGCCCAATCGACCCCGAAATAAATCTGCAGGAAAGCCTGGTTTTGTGCTTTAAGTGTTGGCTTAGCTGTTCCAAAGTCACCGATTCTAGATGCTGTAACTCCTTCAGTAGTTCATTTGCTGTTTCACCCTGTGCAAGTTGATTAATGGTTTTGTCCTTTTGTGAAGTTTGTGTAATAATTGTAGGAAACCTTAGCTTATTCTTCATCCCAGGACCTGAAGGATGGTTATAGTTGGTGAGGATATTAGTACCCCGAGTCTTGCCTTGGCTTTGTCTCTGCAGAAATCACGTGTATCAATCACCTGAGAGACTGGTCTCTGATCATTCAGTCCATCCCAACTAATTTAATTAATTTAATTCATCCTAATTCAACTTGTTTTCAAGTTTAAGTCAACCTAGCAAAACATGCTTTCAGACTAGAAACAAAATTGATTTACTCATTATAAGGAATACAACAGCTGAATAGACTAGAATTTGCTCCTGTCCTGTGAATGCATTTTCCCAGTAGGGAAATCTATTGTGAAACCAAATGCAGATGGATGTTCGTTCATTTATATAGAATCAGAACAAAGGAATTGGGTGGCATTAAGACTTCAGTGAAGTCTGGAAGAAACTAAGAAATTCAAGTTGCTGAAGGAGCTCTCTGCCCAACCAGCCAGAAACTTTGGAATCATTCTGGAAAGTTTTTAAAGAGTTTCAAGGATTGCCATGACACATCCTACTTTATGCAACTGTTCGTTAGGTCAAACAAAGATTATAACAATTAAGATGCACTAATAAGGTTCTGAATTATACATAGACTTTTTTCCAAGCATACAGAAAAATAAAAGGAACTGTACAGTGAACATCCCTATATCCACCACCCAGATCTACCATTGACATTTTACTGCACACCACACCCATATCTGTCTGTCTTTCTATCCTTCTGTTTATCTCAATCTCTTATTTTTGTGAATTTACAAGTAAGTTAAGTAAGCAATAGACATTAGCATACTAGGTTTTCTTTTTAACTTTTTATTTTGAAATTTTAAAAAATACACAAAAGTAAATATAATGAAATCCCATGTATTTATCACTGGGATCCACAATTGTCAACATTTTTTTAGTCTTGTATTATCTCTTTTTCTCCTCCACACTCTTCTTGAGTCATTTAAAACAGACGATATGTTTCATTTACAAATACAAATACTTACCTCTCTAATAAATAAGCATTTAATACATAACTGTTTAACAAGATTCCTTATCTAATACCTATTCTTTACCAGTTGTCCTTGATTGTCTCAAAGTCTTTTTACATTTGATTTATTTGAAAAGGATCCAAATGATATTACCCATAAACTGGTGGTTCAACCCAGATACAAGATTATATTCCAGACCAGCTATTTTGGCAAGATGACATTGTAACTATACTTCTGTTACACTTCTGCAGGCAGCACGTGGTGGCTGATTGTTCCACTGTTAGTGGTGCTAGGACTGATCCATGGGTTCAAGTGTTGGCATGCTGATGCCTTTAGTATGGTATTTACCATTATGCAATTTTCACAAAATTATGATCATTTCTTAGATGCAGTCATTAATTTGGATTTACAAAATACTGACTAATTCATTAGTTGGAAGAACTTTGCCCATCAACTACTTGGTAGTTCTGAAATGTGTTTTTTTTTTTAACCATGAAAGTGGGATAAATGATTCTCTCCCTTTACTTACCAATTTTTAGAATGAGTTGTGGCCCTAGCATCCTCCAAAAGTTTGTTGGTTGGTTGGTTATATTTTTAATTGTGGTAAAACACAACAAAAGTTACCATCTTAACGATTTTTTTTAAAAGATTTTATTTGTTCGAGAGAAAGAGAGAGCGCAAATGGGGGGGAGGGACAGAGGGAGGAGACCCTACATGGGGCTTCATCCCAGGACCCTGGGATCCTGACTGGAGCTGAAGGCAGACACTTAACTGAGCCACACAAGAACGTCCTCCCCACCAATCTTAACCATTTTTAAGTGTTCCGTAGCATTAAGTACATTCATATTATTTTGTACCAGATCCCCAGAACTTTCTCATTTTACAAAACTGAAACTCTATACTCATTATTTAACTCTCCATTTCTTCTTCCCTCTAAGCCCCTGGCAAGCACCGATCTGCTCTGTTTCTATGAATTTGACCATTTTAGGTACTTTATGTAAATCAAATCGTGCATTATTTGCCTTTTTGTGACTAGCTTATTTAACTTAGCATGATGTCCTTAAGATTCATGCATGTTGCAGCATGTGACAAGATTTGCTTCCTTTTTAAGGCTGAATCCAAAGGTTTTTATTATTTTAAAAACTTACTTTTTGTTATTTTTCACATGAATTCATGATTTTCCTATATTTGCTGTATATCAGTCCATTGGAGTCATGATTCTTTTTGGTGCTCAAATTGTCTCATCTTGGGCCAGTGGGATTCCCCTCAGGATAGTCTCTGAGGCCTTTTGACATGACTCAGTAGTCTCTGATAGCTTCCTTTGTGATGCCAGGATGTTCCAGGTTCATCTTGTCCATCTCTCCTATGCAAGAGATATACTACATGCCATAGTCTGGGCATATAATTTAGGTACACTTTTCAATTCTTTCCTAATATTATCTTAATGCTTTTTAATTGCAAATAGACTGTAGTAAGAGTCTAATAAGGATAAACTGATGTTATAAATAAAATGTGATTGGTTTCTTTTAACTACACATAAGAGGAACCTGACCATCTACGCTGTGATTTGAAACCAAGGCTACATATTAGAACCACTCTGTGAGCCTTAAAAAAATCCTAATGGGCAGGGCACACCCCAGTCCAGTGTTACTAGATTTTTTAAGCGTGGCACCAGGTACCCCAGAATTTGCAGAGCTCCCTACATGGTTCCAGTAGGCAGCGAAAGTTGAGAATGCTAAAATTTAGTGGTGAAATTATAACCAAAATAAATGAAAAAGAAAGAAAGATAACCTAGACTCTGGAAATTACCTCAGGCCTGAATATATTAGGTTCCATACTTTTCTGGATGAACTGTCCTTTGCTAACTTGAATGTGGTACCTCTAAAAATGAAGGCATCTCGTAAATAACACAATACTGCAAATCTCTATTGTGTCTTCTGTTTCTGTTTTATAGATTTGAACACGCACCAGCAGCAGGCTTGAGGGCACGGTTGGGTCATCATGTTGCCACCTTGAAAGAACATGATAATTCTATCAAAGAAGAGGTAGCTAAACCATCTGAAGTTTTCCCAGTTAAAAACATGAACCAGACAACAAGGGTCAGTAATATTTATTTTTTTTAAATAAAGTTTCAAGTTTATGCAAATGATTCATTTGAGGACATAGTCACATTCTTGACAATGGTTAAAATATCTTTTATTTATTTATTCATTCATTCATTCATTCATTCATTCATTCATTCGAGACAGAGAGAGAGAGAGGCAGAGACATAGGCAGAGGGAGAAGCAGGCTCCATGCAGGGAGCCCGATGTGGGATTCGATCCTGGGACTTCAGAATCATTCCCTGAGCCGAAAGCAGACACTTAACCACTGAGCCACCCAGGTGTCCTAAAATATTTTTTTTAATTTTACATAATAAGTGAGGTTTTATGATTTGTTTGTTTTTACTTTCTGATCTCAGGCCTTTTGCAGTTTTGTGTAGGAATCTCAACTCCTTACACAAAGTTAATTCAGATCCTAGAGGTAACTTCATTAAACATAATGACAACATTTTCCAAGGAACCTAGAAGCATCTTGTAGCATTCTGGTTTTCTTTCTCTACTCCATACTTTAAAAATCCTGAACAGTCATATATGTTAATTCAGCAAATACGTATTGATGCACTTCTATACACAGGTACCAGCCCAAATCCATTGGAGGAAAAGAGATAAATAAAATGTGACATCTTCTGGGGAATGGTATATTGGGATGTGTGCAGTAAGAAAATAGCAAAGAATATGGACCTTCAGATAAAGGAGCCAAGCCATCTAGAGATCCAATGAGGGCAGACTTTACAGTGGTGGGAGTAGAGAAGTGTGAGGTGACCATGAAAAAAGAGACAGGATTTTGACAGTCTAAGAGTGTAGGAGGGTGCATCAGGCAGGAGAGGGCTGTTAGGAGCCAAAGAATAGACCCAGGAAGTAGAGCTGAACTCTGGTCTTCTTGGCTAGAGGGCGGGCTCCAGGCTGGGGGTGATGGATAAAGTCCAAAGTGGCCACAGGCCCTGTGAGCAGCATCCATCCAACCCAAGTAGGGAGTTTGTGTTTGGTTTAGACTCTGGAAAGCCGTCAGCTTTTTAAGCAAAGTGGCACCCGAGGGCATGAAGATGCTAAACAGATGGAGCAGATGGAGCTGATCCCCAAGGAGAACATGAAGGAGGTCCCAAAAGCCAGGTCTAGAGCATGCCCTGTGTAGTCTTCATCATTCTCTAGAAGGCCATATATTCAGAGGTGGCACTCCTCAGTTTAATGACATGTCAGTGTGTCTTGTCTCAAAGTATGTTTTCTCATCTCTATCTGTAATGTAGGGTTTTCTGGCTTGGATCCTTTTTAAGTTTTTATTTTTTATCATGTTCAAAGTCCAAGGATTTGACATGTGCCCCTCCTGGAGGCAAGCCTTGCCACCCCAGGACTGAAGTCAGACACCTCTCTCACTGTGCGGTCCAGAGTCTCTGCCATTGCTCCCTTTCCTGAGCCTTTCAAAGCACCTTCAGTCCTTCCCATGCCCCCTTTCCTTGCCTCTTTAATTAAAAGAGAGGAGGAAGAGGGTTTTTTTTAAGCATTTCAAACATACACACATAGAATGATGTAATGAATTTAACATGCCTACCCAAGTTCATGTGTGTTGTTACCATTACACTGGATTTGTTTCAAACTTCACCTTCTGCTTCCTTCCCCCTACCCCAGCAGTCCCCCCCCACATCACCCTATCCCTCCTCTTCCTCCTCTTACCTGCTTCCTCCCACCTTTCCTTCTTCTGAAACCAACTATTACAAATATAGATACAGCCGCATGTGCCTTTCACAGATCCCCTTTCCCTTATCACAGATAACCTGGGATGTATCCTTCCCACACACATTTGCATTTTACTGCATATTTGTGTGATTCAGTAAAGAAAGAACAATATTGTTTAGGAAAAACAGAACCTGTGTTTCTTAGGTCCATTCCATATCTGTTGATAATTGTAGTTCTTAAGAAGGATTTTTGTTCTCAGGTTTTATTTAGTACTCTTTCATAGCAACATTGTTTCCCATTCATTCCATTCACTACAAATACCTCACATCTTAGCCACATCAAGGGTGAAAGAAATATTGGTCTACTGCCCTTTGCTATCTAATTGTCTCATTATTTAAGTTGTTTATAGTAGAAAACATATTCCAAGTTCAGACAACCAGTTCACTCATAATTTTTCAAATAATAACTCCAGTATTAACGAAAAGGGGGATGCCTGATGAAGAACTTAGAAATCAAATGATATTCTGCCTCCCTTAGTAGATCTTTGGTTCCCTTTTAAATTGTCATGACCTCATCTTCATGACAATAGTGAAAGTTATCAAAAAAGTAATGATGAAGCCTGTCCTTAAAAATAGAAGTAAGCAGGCAGTTTCTGTTAGTTTGGGACTGAAGAAATGTGCAACCCTGAAGAACTGTGTTGCCAAAATGACTTGAGCGTTGTGAACTCTACAATAAAATGCTTGTGTGGGTTCTAGGACTGCTTTGGTTTACACAATCATCTAGTCACAGTTAGCAAAAATCAAGTGTCTCTGAGTCATTTCTCATCATTCATTGAAACAATATACACAGTAAATAGTATAGTATGGGTTAAATATTTCTCCATAGGTAAAAATCATAAAACTAAGAGATTTTCAAAATTTAAGAAAGCTCTACTAGAAATTACTTGGTGAAGAATCTAATGAAGCTCAGAAATATTTACTTTGATCTCTTGGGTAAATGGCTAATTAAACAGCCACATGTAAATGATGTTTACCTGTGGGTCCCTTTGCTGTCAGCTGGAGTCAATCCCGTCTCTTGAGTAAATACATCATTAAAGCCGCCGAAACTCGGATTATGTCCCCTCGAGACCAGATAAGATCCACAGCACCTGCATAACCTATTAGGTAATTACATAATTGAGCTGCATGCTTTTAAATCAGAAAAATTTGTAATTACTCTATGTGGAAAAAAAATGAGTTGGGTGCTTCATTAAAACACAAAGTGCCTTAATACTCCTTTTCTCCTAAGTGATGTCTCTTTCTGCCCGGGAGAACTTCTCCAGGCAAAGCAGAGTGGCTTCTTCATGTCACCCACCGAGAAAGTCAGTCCTGTCCCCCACCACATATGCACCGCCACAGAGACATGTGATTGGTCATAGAAATCCCTTCACCTCTTCCTAAATGATGCACTGTTTTTTTATCTTATCTCTTGAATGCTCATTTGCTGGCCCATCTGAATACTTGCTCATTTCTTTTAATTGCTACATAGATAATCCCCTTTTCTTTCTCTTTTCCCCTTTTTCTCCTATAACTTAGATATAACTTGAGAGCATTCTGCTAAGCTGTGAATAATTACTTCTGATGTGTAAGAGGAAGGTCAGTTAAATCTATATGTTAGGAGAAAATGTTACCTATCTATGGCCATATTCTCTTGCTTTTTTGTATCTGCATTAATAGCACTGATATACATATAGAAGAGAATTTAATTTTACTAAATACTTTCACATTCGTTTTCTGTATTTATACCACCCATCACAGAAATTGGATTCTTAGGGGTAGCATATGTTTTTTTTTAAAAAAACCTAGCAGGAAAAAAAACCTCCAAATTTGGAATATTAAAGTAAAAAAAAAGAATAAAAGAAAGTTGTCTATTGACATTGCAGTGTGTGGTTTTTAATATTTAATATATTGACAAACATGGACTGTACTATTTGTATACAAAGCTTTTCTTCCCCCACTTGTCACAAATGGACTTCATATCATCAGATGTTCTACATCATTTCAAATGGCTGCACAGAGACCCCCATAAAGATATTCCAGTCTCTTTAACCATTCCTGTTGTTGAGGTTTGTTTTTAATTGTTCCTCTAGTAAAAAAAATTGCAAAGAACTTCTGAGCCATTCAATTTTTACAACTGTCCATGCTATTTCGTTATGATGAATTTCTAGATGTGGGATTGTCAGGTCAGAAGGTGTGTATATCTCTCAGGCTGTAGCTAATCTCTGTTACATCTCACCCTGGAAGGGTAATCAGTTATGAGGAATGAATGAAATATTGTTTATTTGAGATTTTTATGAAACTGGATACTATTGACTTTTTTTTTTTTTTGGACACCAAGATTGAGAAATACAAATGACGTCTGATTTTTTCATTCATTTGACCTTTATAGTACAATTGAGGTCAAATTTTCCCCTACCTATTTGTTAGCCATTTGTATTTCTTCTTTAATAATTGGCAGGTTCATGTTCTTTGGTCATTTTTCTATTAGGTTAGTAATCTTTTTCTTATTGACTTGTAAGAATTTTTTATCTATAAATTGGCACAATTTATTGCAGTATTTTGAGGAGTTTTTCTTTCATTTCTTTTAATGGTGTTTTGGACATAATGTCTTTTCCAGTAATACCCTCATCTATCTATGCATGTGAATATCACAATTGATTGTTTCTGGATATAAATTAAGAAATGACTCTTGAGGTTCTCGACCCAGCAGGATCCATATTTAAACTGAACTTTGAGAAAAATTCTAGTAGAGTTGAACCAATAACTCTAGGTGTCCTGCTGAGTATAATTAATGGGACGATTTATCTTTTGTAAGATCTGAAATGTGGAGATATCACTGTCAGTCATTCTGCAAACAGTGTGTGCATTGGCATTGAATTTCCCTTTCTCCTGGCTCCGGGGAAGGCAGAAAAGTGAGAGACTAGTTTGTTGGTATGGACTTAATCATCAGACTACTGATAGCAGTGAGACAGTCTCCATCTCCCTCCTGGGCTCAAAATGTAGGAAATCCAAGAGAGAGCCTTTATTAGCTAACGGATAAGTTGAAACCCAAGCATAGTCCATTCATAAGCACCATCTGGAGGCCAGTAAGAAAGTTGTTGTGTGGTGGCATTTTTCACATTAGAGAGTTGCAATTTGCAGAGCCCATTCAGTCCCAGCGTGAGCTGTGTAAGGCAGCTTGCTCACTTTTCTCTGAGCTTTTGTCCATGCAGGTATGGGTTAGTGTCGTAGCCTTGGACTGCAAGCTCCTTCAAGATGGGGGATTCCATAAAAATACGCCTTTCTAAAAGGTCTGCAGACATGACCGCTTGAGAATGTATTACAAATGTTTCTCCCAACTCTACTGAAGTGGTTTTCGACTCAAAACTTTCTGACTGTTCCTTGTCTGAGGCTGATGTTTCTTTCTGTCCTGCTTATTATTATTCCCTGCTTGTTAAGTCTTATATTGTGGATTCCTTTACGGATGACCTACTGGACACATCTGCTACTCTCTGTTGGCTCCATGGTCCAGTAAAACCAAGCCAGCCATTCTAATGTAGTAATTTGACCTTCTACCAAAATCATTGCAGATATAAAAAAGTGATCTTTGAGAAATTACCTATAGAATTATCTTAGAAGATGAGTTGCTTTAGGGATGCCTGGGTGGCTCAGCGGTTGAGCGTCTGCCTTTGGCTCAGGTCAGAATGCCAGAGTCCTGGGATTGAGTCCCACATCAGGCTCCCTGCAGGAGCCTGCTTCTCCCTCTGCCTATGTCTGTGCCTCTCTCTGTGTGTCTCTCATGAATAAATACATAAAATCTTAAAAAAAAATGATGAGCCATTTTATAAATGCCTCTATCAAAACAGTAAGAGAAATTGGGGCACCTAGGTGTCTCAGCCAGTTAAGTGTTTGCCTTCAGCTCGGGTCAGGATCTCAGGATCTTGGGATTGAGCCCCACATTGGGCTCCCTGCTCAGTAGGGTGTCTGCTTCCGTCTCTCCTCCTGCCCCTCCCAACTCATTCTCCCTCTTTCTCTCTAATAAATAAAATCTTTAAAAAAGAAAAAAGAGAAATCCTAGAACTAGGAATATTGAGTAGTAAAGATAATTTATCTTCATTTATGAAATATACAAAATAAATAAAAACCTGCAGTATGCTCACCACTCTACCTACCTCACCCTAGTTTAAAAAAAAAAAAAAGAGGGCTCAGTGTAGAACTGGTGGCAGTGGTGATATGGTTATCAAGCAAATAAGGATTTATTAGAAAGGCATTTACAGTATTATTATAGCATTTTATTCTGTGTTCTTTTGAGGCCCAGTTGGAACCCAGCTAAAGCAAAGAAGGGGCTTGTATGAAAAGGGATGTGCAAAGCTGTGAGATAAATTGTGTGTCATCACTGAGGGCCTATTGAGAAGTAATCTGAGTCACTGGCAACCCCAGTTTCTATTGTCAGCAAATTTTACAGCACAAAGTGCAGGAAGCTTCAACAGTCCTTGAACAATTTTATTCTTAAGATGTGTGTTAAGACAGAGGCTATTATGAATTCATGCCAAGAAATTATTACTTATAACCATTGCATAAGGCAAGATGTGGAAAAAGTACATCTTTGAGGCTCTCAGATATTTGGAGTTTTTTCTATTAGAAAAAGAAGATTACAGAATTGGCCAGAATCTGGGCCGGTTCTTTTTGTTCATATTCTAAAATGCTTTTCACATACCCAGGATTATTGGGCACACAGAATTGGAGCTTAGCTCTCTGTGGGAAGAGACTAGATCAGGATGAGTGGAGATCTAGAAATGAGACATGCCAGGATGGTCCAGAGATCATACTGACAGCTGAGAGATGGCAGTTCAAGGACGTGATCCTACTCTTCATACCTCTTTTCCTAGACAGATCCTGGAAACAGGTGCAGCGCAATGGTCCATGAAGGCAGCTCTGTGTGGGGCACTATGGCAGCCGGTGATGGGAACCAGCCCTGGCCTGAGCTTTGGAGGCAGGACTTTTATACCTGAACCCTAGTCTGTGGAAGCAGGGATAGATGTCACATCATCCCAACAGAGTGTTACCACAATTGGAATAAAATCTAGGACTGATTTAAACAAATGGAGGAAAAGCTCCTGGTTACTAGAAGTGGACCACAGACGGACTTGGCTGTAAGTCTAACTTGATACCAAGTCCCTTGGCCAAGGAGAGTAGAACTCTTTAAATACCTTCTAATCAGCTGCTGTAGCCCCTCGGATAGGCAAGAGTCCAAAAGGCCAGCTGGTCCTAGGGAGGGCAGAGGGCAAGAGCCTTGCAGGGATGTCAAGGTCCATGGCAGTGACTTCAAAGTATGTTCCAGGCCAAACTCACAAGGCTAGATCTCCCATATTCTGCCTCAGTGATTCTCCCTTTTGGGGTATCTTCACTTTCTTTCATGTTAATCACAAGGAAAGTTTATTCTGTTTCCTGTTATTCCCTAGATAGTAATGGTGTTGCTCCTTTGCACTTAGACTGAAGATGACCAGGGAGGCTTTATCGAGTCCACTCTTCATATCAACTTGTAGAGTCTCATGTTCGTTTTCCACAGAAACACCCTCTTTCTCGAGGTTGGGTTGGATACCGCCCTGTATTTGCTCCTGTCATCAGATACTAGTGATAGCTAAGTTGGTACCACCGCCTAGGTTTTCACTGCCAAAAGCCTGGGCAAGTCACCAATTCCAAGTAAGAAGTGAAAGAAGATATACACCCTGGAAGGTTACTCTCTTGATTACCTCTTGTTACCAGTATATTTGTGTTTCTCAGGAGGAGAGTACTGACCTGGAAATGAAAGACATGTGTATTAACTTGTCCTGTTAATTGCCACTTGCTCTCCACCTCTCAAGTTGGCCATGATGAAAGCTGTACCCACCTGTCTGCCCATGAGACATGAGGTGATAGGAGTAAGACAGTTCAGGGCCCTTGGAAAATAGATAGGTAGTGTGGCAGGCCAGCTTCCTGAGTTCCCAGCAGACTGAGGGGCAAAGTGCAGAGTATCTTTATTTATCATTGATTGAGGATTGATTTAGAATAAGGTTAGCTCTCTTTTTGCTTTAGTGTAACCTCCTCAGCCACAAGTTTTTCTATAATCTCATTTTGGGGAAATTCAGGGGTCATTTCAAGAAAGATGGAGATATCTCAAGGTCGCATTCATTTCAAACTGTCTTCAGTGCCTGAAAAACAGATTCATGTAATGAAAGATAAATCTTAGATAAACTAGCCCAGATTAATGGTGGTGGTCACATCTCATAAACATACTTCACGAGTCAAAGAACACTTCTGCATTCTGTAAGTCCTCAAAGAAGGTATCACTGCAAGTGTGAGTTGTTGTAATGAAATTATGCTGGAAAATAATCAGATGTTGTCTCAACTCAAAGACATTTTAATTTCAGTTAAATGTCAGGAAGCAAATTAAATCCCAAGTAAAGCTTAACCTAAAATTACATTTGAAGGCTGGGTTTTCAAGACCAAGGGTAATGCAGTTAGAGTTTGTTTTTATTTCTTTGTGCTTTCTTCTAAACACTGTAGGCAGCAGCCTTATTGAAAAAAGCCCTTACAGAAGAGTGTGACGGTAGGTCAGCTATTCATAGTAATGAATCATCCTGCAGCTTGCCATCTATTCTGAATGACAATAGTGGAATAAAGGAAGAAAAACCTGCTCCATGGCTCAACAGTGTTCATACAAAGGAACAAGGTAACTCTTGCTATAAATTCTGTCCACAGAAAACATGCATTCAGAGTCAGTGCAACACCCTCTTTCTCGAGGTAAACCTGTAAAATTAAGCTGACTAGAGAATACCTCTGATTTTAATATGCATGATATGTTCTTTGTTTTATGCCACCTTTTAGGAAATATATTTGTTTTCATTTAGTCTATCAGGAATGGAAAACCTAATCATAGATCTGCAGTTCTGCTGAATTTCCGATAAGGTTTTTTTTAAGATTTTATTTATTTATTGGAGAGAGAGAGCACAAGCCAGGGGGTAGGAAGAGGCAGAGAGAAAGGGAGAAGCAGATTCCCTGCTGAGTGGGGAGCCAGACACAGGTTCCAGGACCCCCGAAATCATGACCTGACTCAAAGTCAGGCGCTTAACTGATTGAGCCACCTAGTGCCTCTCTAATAAGTTTTTATAAGTATTGAAATCTTAGCAAAATGAATCTCTTGGCAGTAGATCATTTTGATCATGTGACAAAGATGAAAGTGATTCCATAAAATACCATGGAGTTTTTGATATCACTTCATAAAATTTACTCATAATTTGTAAAAACTCTTTTTAATTGTAATGGAACTTTTTTTTTTTTAAGATTTATTTATTCATGAGAGACACAGACAGAAAGAGAGAGGCAGAGACACAGGCAGAGGGAGAAGTAGGCTTCCCGTGGGGAACCTGATGCAGGACTCAATCCCAGGACCCCGGGATCATGCCCTGAGCCAAAGGCAGATGCTCAACCGTTGAGCCACCCAGGCATCCCAACTGTAATGGAACCTTATAAAATTTTCAACTGATGACTAAGAATCAACAAGTTTATGCCCCCCAAACTTCATAGCCAATTTTTATTTTCTGGAGATTATGATTATTTTAGTTCTGTTAAGGCCTGTCAGTAAACTGCTGTAATGACATTTCTAAGACAGCCATGAGTTGCTCAGGACATACTGAGAAGTCAGTATACTCTTGCAGAATTTGGAGCTCACTTGTTTTAAGCCCTATTTGAATTTGATAGATGTCAGACTACAGTATTTTGCTTGAAGGTGACATAGAGATACCTTAGATTTTGAATAAGTTTCCTTAGGAAACAATACTGTTTTAGACAAAAAAAATAAACTAAGCCACAGAAAGGACTATGGGGAGGCAGTGAAAATAAAAGGAACGGCAGTTAAAAAAAAAAAAGGCGAACAAAGGCCTACTCCATAAATATAGCCTTGAGATACATCATGTGTTCTTTTTTTTAGAAATTTCCAGTGACTGTGGAGGTGAAAGCAGGGAAGAAAGCATGGCAGCGAAGATCCCGATCACAGGTAAAGTTACTGTCATCAGTGAGTTTCAAATGGGATTCAACCTTATCATGTAACCAGAACCTTGTAGATTAGTGGTTTGTGGACTCCACTAAGAGCAAGGATATTCAACAGCTACGCGCTGAAGCAGGCATTTAATCCTAAGAGCCAAATGTGCAAGCTTACGTTTAACATAAACTAAAAGTGGAAAATAACGGTGTCTATTGAATTCTTCATAATCACTCATACATTTACACCTGTGAACACTGCCATCACATAGCCTTTCAGCACCTGCATCTGGGTGACAAGGTCAGTCTCCATGGGGAACACCCAGTCATTATATGGCAAACTACAGATATTTGTGATGTTACTCTTTTCTTGCCTGTAATAATTGAATGTGTATCATTAAAATAAGGGGTGGGGGAAGTGCCAGACAGGAAGCTTTCCTTGTACCTCCAATAACTTAAAACTAACCAAAAATAGGAGGTGGTTAGCTCATCTGATAATTCAACAATTTAGCAGTAAGGTTTCATCAAGACCTATTAAGATTTCTGTATAAGTGTTAGGCTTATTTCAATGGAATCTCAGTATCTTTATTTTTTCTGGTTTTAGAATATCAACAGCAGCAATTAGTATTCTGAACAGAGTTCTATTTGTCGTACATCTAAATTTACTAGTACCTTATTTTGTAAAGTGGTGTACTACTTTATTAGAAATTCAAAGGTCTGACTTTAAATATTTATACAAGTAAATACACCGTTGCACCGAGGTACTGAGGCATGCATCTGCATATGTGGTCGTTTTGTTGTTTATAAGCAGAAAAGAATGGCTTTCTTTTATGGCAGTACAATTCATGGCCTGATGATTAATTTTTTAAACCCATGTTTCTGTGATGAACTCTGGTTTTGAAAAAGGAGTATATAGTAGAGCAATTATTCTATATATTCTGCATCAGATAATATTTCACCCCAAAATACAGAGGTTTTCTTTTCTTTTCAATGTTTTCCCAGTGATATAGTTTATTGCATTTTTATTCTTCACTTTGAGAAAAATTCTGTTAGGGTCTCTTCTTTATTTTTTTTATTTTTTATTAATAGAAGTATAGATATCCCAAGCTGCAAATAACCAAGAAGTTATTTGGATGCTTTTCCTTTGCAATTTATCTTTGAATGCAGAAGTATCTAATGACCTCTGAATTTATTTCAGTTAAAATGACAAAAACTTATTGGGTAGAAATCAGGAAATGACCCAGTTGCCCATTCTTACTTCTCCAGTATTCTTTCTAATCATCCCTTGCAAGTAGTTGACTCTCCCCCAAATTAATGCAGATAGTATTTTCCATAGACTTTCTTTAAAATAAAAGAGATAGTTAAGTACTAGACTAAATTAACTTGGGGGAAAAAACACACACACAAAACAAAAAACCTTTTCAAAGCCAATGACTTTGTTAGAGCATTTCCAGTTCTCTCCTGGCTACCACATTCTCTTCTGTACCCCCCATTTACCGGACCTCCATGAAGTTAATGTTCGAGGGTCTCAGGCCCTGCTTAAGGGCCACTATTGTGACACAGGTCGCTGAAGTTACTTTGATCTGAAGTTCTTTTTTCCCCCCACTATTTTGTGAGATATAATTGTCATATAACATTGTATTAGTTTAACACCCCAGTTCTTGACCATCACCTTTTTATTAAATATTTATGTCTTTTGGCATAATTATTTGGAGATTTGGCCTTTGGTAGAGTTAGGGCAAGTGTGTCATTTGATTTAAGTTAGAGTCCACCTCTCCCTTCATAATAATTTTGTTGAGGCTTTCTTGTTGTTTGAGCTACATTCTTTCTACAGTATTCCAAAGAAAAGGAATATTCCAGAGGCTGCCCTCTGGAAGTTGAGGCTATTTGGTGGCTGTCCCTTGGCTTTGGCATCGGTTGTCTATGTGAGCTCTTTACTCATTGCTCTATTTCTCCACCCTTGTGAGCCTCTGAACTGGGAAAGCAGACAAGTTACTCCCTGGCAAGTTTGTCTTAAAGTTGAAATGAGATTGTGTGAAAGTGCCAACTGTGTACTACATACTCAATACATGAACGCTACCTGCTGAGTTGCAGTAGGCACTTGAGAATGAGACCAACCCGAGCCCTGTGCTGCATAATTCCTCATCGACAGCACTTCCGGTAGTACCACTAAATTAGATTCTGCAAGAAATTTCTGATGGTTGAAAACTCAGTGGTTCGAATCCAGAAAGATGTTTACTTTATCAAAAAGGTATCTTGAGAGTTTCATGATATTTTAGGAACCTCTAGTTAGTCCCATGAAAAAAAGGTTAGAGAGGAATAACTAGCAGGAGTTGATGAAGTGATTCCTGGATGTCTCCTTGGTGGAGGCTACCCGTCTCTGCCTATGAGTGCTCATGCACGGGTTGAGGACACTGTACGGTGCCTGATCACCAGGCGAGTCTTCCTGTGGTGTGCTGTCACAAGGGTGGCTGGACGGTTGCAGCATTTCCCCGGTCTATTCTGTGCAGTGCTCCACCTGGAAGATACTTTGAGAAATATGTATTTTGGACCCAACCCAACGTGACCCCTCTTTCTCTCTATAGCCAGCACAGTGTGCTGCAGCCTGTTAGACTTTTACAACTTAAAGTAAATGCACCATTTAAAAGTGTGAACCTAGAGTTTCATATAACTAATTTTCCATCTGAAAATGGAATCTTTCCTATAAATGGCCAACAGTTAATATTCTGTGGGACACATTTTGGGAAATGTAAATATGCACACATATATGTTGAATGTTTAGTAGATCCTTAAGTCGGGCAGCCCCTGTGGCGCAGCACTTTGGCGCTGCCTACAGCCCGGGGTGTGATCCTGGACACCCGGTATTGAGTTCTGTATCGGGCTCCCTGCGTGGAGCCTGCTTCTCCCTCTGCCTGTGTCTCTGCCTCTCTCTCTCTCTCTCTCTCTCTCTCTCTCTCTGTGTGTGTGTCTATGAATAAATAAATAAAATCTTAAAAAAATAAAATAAATCCTTAAGTCTAGGGGTGCCTGGATGGCTCAGTCAGTTAAGCGTCTGACTCTTGATTTCAGCTCAGGTCACGAGCTCAGGGGCGTGAGATTGAGCCCCCCTCATTGGGCTTCATGCTGGGCATAGAGCCTGCTTGGGATTCTCTCACTTTCCTTTTGTCCCTGTCCCCTAAAAACAAACAAACAAACAAACAAACAAAACCAAAAAACCCTAAGTCTAATGAGGACATCAATTTTCTCAATAGTCTAAATTTATCTTCAGCATTTTCCTGCAGTTTCTTTTTGTGGTAACATCTCTCGTGGATGAAATTGCTTTATGTTATAGACGTTGGGCTGCTTCAGCATAACTAAACCCAGATGATGTTATGATTGAAAGTTATATGTTAAAGCTCCTCCCCAAATTGATGACCAGCAGGTTACAGTAGTAACATGTAATAGTTCAAAGCACTCCTCTTCAGTGTGGGTCTTCTGTGTGACATTATGTGCTTTACAGCCATCTCAGGAGAGGTACAGTAAAGACAGAGGCTAAGGCAAAATGCAGGAAGCTGGGTAGAATGGGTGGGAAGCCCTGAAGTGACACTGTTTTCAGAATGACAAGGGTCCTGGGGAAGTTTAACCCAAAAAAGGCACAGAAGCTATCTGTAAGTATTTGTGGGGCTGCCACATACCAAACATTTATCAATAACTATAGCGTGTAGCTTGTGGGGAGGAGGCCTGTATGTGAGTGTTGCAAGGAAGGAATTCAGTGTTGGTCATGGAAGAACTTTCTGGCTCTTCATTCCAGCAAAAACAAGGTGAGTGTCTTCCAGCTGCTGGCTGGTTGCACCCCAGCAGGAACCCGCTCCCTAGAGGGGCACTATGGAAGGAATTTCTGTTCCTGGGAACACTAACATTCCTTTAAATGCTGGGAGTCTGTGATTCTCAGTCCATAGTAAAGGAATCAACTGTGCCAACATTCTCATTTATTTTTTTCCCCTTTATTTGCTTATCACTCCCAAACATAGGTTTTCCTGACAGAGGGGCTCATCCTTAACAAATTTGCTGTCACTCTGAAAAGCATCTGCCTTGTTGATCATCATCTGGGAGAGTGTGAGTCTCATGATTCTGGCTCCCACAGTCTGTGCAAAAATTTACACAGAAATCCCTACACCCTACAACCCAGCCCCCACGCACAGCCTGTATGATCTGCCATTGTTAACAGGCTACTCCTTTCATTAGTCTGGCTGTTCAAACTAAAGAATCCAGATAGGAAGCAAGGATTAATTTGAATGCCTCTGAATGTGTGGTTTTCTGTATATAATAAATAGTATATCATCTGCATGTATGCTGCACCTTTACTTGGGCTGCATGTGGAAATACCAGGATAGCAAAAGCCTGAGGCCCTGCCCTCATTAAAGCCTCTGTCTGCTCCAATTTTCATAACAGCCTGTGGGGCATAAATATCAGTAACTTGTTCTACACACAGTCCAACAGAAACCTAGAAAGGTTAAGATTCCTGCTCAAAGCCATATAGCTAGCTAAGGTATTGGATCTTGAACTCAAACTTCAAAATTTAAGCCTTGACCTCTTTCCATTCTACCACTCTTTTTGTTTGACATGAGAGGCAACTGTATCAGGATGGCTACATCAGTGAAATGTCAGTGTATGGCCCAATAAAAGATGAGCTCAGCAAGGACACTTTGAGAGCTTAATGAGCAAAGCCATACCTTTCCTTTTCCTTGTGTTAGGCCTAGAGAGGTGGGCAGCTTGCAAGGATTTCCAAGTACAGGTTGTACCAGATGTCCGCCCTTAGTAAAGAGTGCAGTTAGGCCTGAGACCACACGTGGGTGATAGGCTATTCAGGTCAGCGTTTCCCTGAAAAATTTAGGCTTAGGATTAAAGTGATGCTTACCTAGCTGATGAGAGAAAGTGTCCCTCTGAACTACTTATACCCTCAGGTAAAATCTCCCACATTGGCAATTTTATTTGTATTCACACCAAATTTACCTTTAAGAGGTGAGTTTCCGTTGTATCAAGTGATGCAGCTAATGCTAAATGTCAAAAAAACCCATCACCTAACAGTGTCCGGCACACAGTGGGCACTCATCTTGTCAAACGAATGAATAAAAATGAGAGTATTAAGGAGTTTCCTTAATGCTTGTTGATTCAGGCCAGAATAATATCTCTTGCAGTCATTCACTCCACCAGTACTTTTCCCACCCACGTGCCCATCCTGGCAAAACTCATCTCCTTAAGCTCCATGTGAAAAGGCCTCTTAGCTTTTATCTCAAGAGGATTAAGCCTCTAAGAATGTCCATTCAGCCTCTCATTCTTTTAACACCAATTCTCTTGGTCAAGCTGTGTTGAAAGTGGTTGCCTGACTGTGCCATTTCTCACTGATATTCTTTGGAAGCTGAAATATTCAAGGTCATACTAAGGTACGTCCATTTAAAAGCTTTGTGGGAGGTCAGCATAGATTTGAAGGTTGCCACTTAGGGTTCTGGGCAGTGCTTCCCAAAACATGATTACTTGAGTTTTTTATCACACTGCAAAAGGGCTGGAAATCTACAACAGCCAAGTTGTCATTGGTGACTAGATTTATCCTGGGAGAAAAGACTGCAGTCACAACTTTTGGTGGCGGGAGAACCACAGCATTAACACCTCTACTGAGCCTTTTCCAAGACTGTGTCTTGCTTGTCCTGTCCCAGAAATGCACAAGAATCATGCAAAGACATGTTACCTGTTATACTTGGGACCAGGAGCACCCAACTCATGCAAAACCAAGGAAGCCACCATGTGCTGCTGGATTGTCCACTGCAGTCCATATGGTCCTCTCCCTGTGGCAGGGGTCAGACTGCTGGTGCTTCACTGGTGGGGCCTACTGCCTACTGCTTGCTACAGGAAAGCATTCCTCTCTCATGACATTGAGGGTGGTGGTGGTGATTTAAAGCGGTTAGTAAAGAATGAAAGGCATCTATCCGGAGAGTGCTCTTGATTGGATGCTCCCATGTTCAAGAAAACCAACTCCTTAAGTGCCCAGAGAAATTCTCCTCTGTAGTTGTGCAGTAGCATCCCATGCAGACTTTTAAACATGTCCATACCCCAGCCACACCCTTGACCAGTTACATCAGAACCTCTGGGGGTGGGGTGGGAGGGCTGGGTATCAGTCTTCTAGATACCCAGGTGACTCCCGAGGTTTGAGAACCACTGAGCCGGGGGGTCTCAAAGCTGAGAGAGCCCTTGTGGGTCATGTAGTGAAACACCCTCATTTTACACAAGAGACCCAAGTGAAGAGAAAGGAGGAAAAGGGATTGGGCTTAAATATTTCAATAAAATTGTGGCTCAGGGAGTGTATTATTTTCCCAGGGCTGCTACAACTAAGTACCACAAACTTAAAACAACAGAAATGTATTCTCTCACAGTTCTGGATACTAGAAGTCTAAAATCAGAGTGTCAGCAGGGCTGTGCTCCTTCTGAACCCTTCCATGCCTGCTCCAGCTTCTGGTAACTCCAGTCTCTGTCCCGTGTTCACGCTGCTACCTTTTCTGTTTCTCTGTTTGCTCTCCTTCCTACCAGGACCCCAGTCACTGGATACAAGGGTCACCATAAATCAAGGATGACTTCATCTTAAGGTCCATAACTAATTACATCTACAAGGAACCTGTTTCCAAAGATCATATTCTGAGATTCTAGGTTAACATAAGCCTGGCAGGAGGCGGGTGCGGGGAGATACTTTGCAACCCACTACAGTGGATGAGGAGGGATTTCTGTATATTTTACATTTCTAGCACCCAGGTCATCTTATACAGTGATTATTCCGGGCTCTAATCTAAATGATGATGATAATATTACTGTCTTTATTTCTGATTCTTCTCATATAAATCATTGCATACAAAGCTGCTAAAAATCCTGTGTTGTGTGCCAATAAAATACAGCTTCCTGATCAGATTACTCCATCTTTGAAAAGTTGAAGATTCCATACTTTCAGAGTTGAACACCCACCTCCCACGACTGAACTGTGTTAAGTGGCAGGCACTAGGGCTATATAAATTTACATGTGAAGAAGTGTTTTGGTTTGGTTTTGAAATGTTAAAGAGCAGTTACAAACCTGCCATTTATTTTCAGGTGTAATTGTTGAATTGCCCCATAGAAATTAAGAATGGTGCTACTATATGTTGGCAAATCGAATTCCAATAAAAAAAAAAAGCCCTAGGTGGAGAAAAAAAAAAGAAATTAAGAATGTAATGTAAATACTTATTTTCTGAAGCAGCTCCAGGCTACTCATCTGGATTAGGCTTTCTTTCGTCTCTTCTGTATGCATTGGCCCTCTTCTTGGTGATAGATTTATGGGCCCAGGATGACTGGTGGAGTGGGATGTATTGCAGAAAATCTGGACATGAAAGGCAATTCTCGTTATGGATCCAACCTGTGTGTCTCACCTTCACAAACACTTGTGGCCTTCAATTTAAAAAATCCTACATACAGATGAGTTTTCTGTATTTTCTGGTCATGGAAGCACTCCTATCCTAATATTCTCTCATTTTCATTTGAACAGATTATTAGACAAATGATTTCTGGATTTTAAGCGATAATCCTTAGAATTAATTTTAGAAATACTTATCACAATTTTTATTTTCTTTGGTAAATATGACTTGGTTTGCCAGAATCAGCCACACATCTAGCACAGCATGAGGGGGTAATTGAATGGGTGTAGACATGTGTGAAGGGTAACAGCACTGGGAAACTCAGAGGATGGAAAATACTTTTCAAATTTCGTTTTAAAAATACTGCACACTTCATACAGAAATAGTAATTATCTTCCTGTACTCGAGGCTACCCAGTTCTTTGTCAGTTCAAGGTCATTTTTTCCTAGCCGGAATGATAGTAATTGTTTGCATCGCCTTTTGTTATTCCTTTTCCTGGCCCAGCTCTTCCCTTTTTTCTTGAGGGATTTCTGCGAAAGCCCTGGGCAGACTGCCTTGGAGACACCCCTTCAGGGCTGGTGAACCCCACATTTATCTGGCTCTTGGAAAGGGCTGTTAAAAGCACTTGTTCATCAGATATTTTCTTTTTCTCTTTATTTGTCAATTTAGAAGTATTTTAGCAGGTGTACATTTGCATATAAAAGAGAACAGAAGATAAGAAGTTGAGGCTTTTTCTCTCTCCCCTTCTCACCAACATCATCTCTCTCCTACCTCCCTTTATTCAGCATGTTTTCTCTTTCTTTCCCTGGCTGTTCCATTTTCTAGACACAAAATGCATATCAAAAAGGAAAACACAGTCTCAGTGATCGCTCACCACTTTGCAGGAAGACAAATGATTGGGTTTGGCCAGCTTATGGAACAAACTAGGGAAAAATATATTTATCTTGTCGTGTCACTGGTCTGGAATTAATAGCCAGGGGTGGATTTTAACCACCATCACCCCCGACCCCTTGCCTTGTTTTATGTTTTAAACTCCGTCCACTCTTTTCTACTTTTTAAACTAAATCTTGATGTAGATTTGAGTATATAGTGGATGCTTCTGGAGAGATCCAGAATGGAACAGTTGAGCATGCATGTACACCAGAACATGAAAAAGAATGAATGAATGAATGAATGAATGAATGAATGAAAAAGAGTCGTATTCTTCTAAATATTTGTTTTATTGAATTATTTGCACTACTCAATAATTTTCTGAGAGTCTGACATTGTTAATAGGAGGAAGCATTTCTCTGGAGTTTTAAGGCACAGGCTGGAAAATGAAGCTGTAAGGGGCCACCCAGGCCTTCCAAGTAAACTGGCAGACTTCAGGTTAACTTGAAGTTGGGAAAAGGCAAATCTTTTTTTCTTTTTCTTTTTCTTTTTTCTTTTTAAAGATTTTTACCCATCTGTCTGAGAGAGAAAGAGAGAAAACGTATGAGCAGGGGCAAGGGGTGGGGAGAGGGAGAAGCAGACTCCCTGCTGAGCAGGGAGCCAACCTGGGGCTCCATTGGAGGACCCCAAGACCATGACCTGAGCTGAAGACACTCAACCAACTGAGCCACCCAGGTGCCCCTAAAGTCTTCTTCTTGGGAACCACATGAGCCCTTGTCCCTACCTTGTTTAAGCAGACTAACTTGAACCTCTAGATTTGTTACTTTTGCTCCTTTGTTCATTCATTCGTTAAATAACTATGAATTTTCAGGGCAAGGCAGTGCAACTTTTAACAGCCTGATTCTTTACTGATCTTCCCTCCAGAAAAGCCTGGGCCTGAGTTGCCACAAAATTTGTGCTTGAGCTTTGCCTTTTTCGCTCTATAAAGCTGACATCCTAGTCTTCTAAGCCATTCCAGGAGGGTATCTGAACTGTTGGAGCCCTCTAGCAAAAACTGCACTCTTGCCTCCACAAAGAGTGTGCAGCCTGGTCCATTTGATATAGATGTCTATTTAAAAATCTCTACACAGCTGTGTAAGCCCCCCTTGATAATACATTTCGATCAATTTTCAACTAAGAAAGCTTTTCCTAGGGATCTCTGGGTGGCGCAGCGGTTTAGCGCCTGCCTTTGGCCCAGGGTGCGATCCTGGAGACCTGGGATCGAATCCCACGTAGGGCTCCCTGCATGGAGCCTGCTTCTCCCTCTGCCTGTGTCTCTGCCTCTCTCTCTCTCCCTCTCTCTCTCTCTGTGACTATCATGAATAAATAAATAAAATCCTAAAAAAAAAAAAAGAAAGAAAGCTTTTCCTAATATCGAACTTGTATCCCTTGGCTGAAGGTTTTCTCTAAGGGTTCCAGTACTTATACAATCAACACAGAAAAAACTGTCTACCGCCTTCAAGTTTGGGGGTTGCAAGTATGTTCTGTTTGGCCTTTAAAAAAAAAAAAAGAAGTCGAGCAGCCCAGGTGGCTCAGTGGTTTAGCGCCACCTTCCACCCGGGATGTGATCTCGGAGACCCGGAATCAAGTCCCGCGTTGGGCTCCCTGCATGGAGCCTGCTTCTCTCTCTGCCTGTGTCTCTGCCTCTCTCTCTCTGTGTGTCTGTTATGAATAAATACATAAAATCTTAAAAAAAAAAAGTCGTCTGGCCTTCTTTCCCACAGGGCAGCAATTGACTGTCTCCAGAGGACAGCTGTGCCCTCTGGAGGAGGCAGTTGCTTTCCAGCATGCTACAGCACTGCCATTCCCCCTACCCTACCCCTCTGAAGTCACTTAGTGCAGTACCTACTTGGCCCCAGAAAGCACCTGCATTTACAGTCCCACCCTGTCCCAACTGTTGCAGTATCTGTGTACCTGAACCCTTCTCCTCCTGTTTCTACACAGGCTATGTAGCCTTTAATCTCTCCTGATTTTTTTTTTTTTTAACAAACCATTTTTGGGTCAGCTCCCAATCTTTCATATGTTGCTGTAGCTCTACTCGCTAAAATAAGGATGTGGACATGCTGTGGGAGAATAACTCCCAGCTCTGAGCATCTGATCCCTAATACAGACCTCGATGGTCAGGCAACAGCTTGCGCTGTCTACTCCAACTCCACCAGCTGTTTCTGGTGTCCTGTCTCCATTGGTGTTTATTCCTCCAAGTGAATGCATTTAATTCTATTACCTTTTAAGCTTCATTTTGCCATTAAACTACTGAAGGAATCATGGGTAGGGATGGGGTAGGTGATGTGTCCAGCAGTCCTCAGCTTGATTTTGCCAAAAGCTTCTATCAGATCAGGGCAGCTAGAGATAAAATGTGTCCATGTGGGCTTCAGTGACTCTAATTAGAGAAGGGCCCACAGAAGTTTTCAGGATCACATACCAGTGAAGATCCGTGGTTGGGAAGGGGTCTGGGCTTTGGTTGAATGGAACAGGAGAGAAGAGCTATCTCTCAAAGTAAATTTGGAGCAGTCTTTTTTTTTAATTAATTTATTTATTTATGATAGTCACACAGAGAGAGAGAGAGAGAGAGGCAGAGACACAGGCAGAGGGAGAAGCAGGCTCCATGCACCGGGAGCCCGATGTGGGATTCGATCCCGGGTCTCCAGGATCGCGCCCTGGGCCAAAGGCAGGTGCCAAACCACTGCGCCACCCAGGGATCCCAATTTGGAGCAGTCTTGAAGGGAAATTCTACAGGCCAGTTACAGAGACCAAGTCCCTTAAGAAGTAAGGGAAGATAGATCTTTAAAGGCCTCATCACAAGAAAAAAAAAAAGTAACTCTGTAAGGTGATGGATGGTAACTAGACTTACTGTGGTGATCATTTCACAGTGCATACAGATGTCAAATCACCATGTGGCATACCTAAAACTAATATAACATTGTATGTCAATTATATATCTATTTAAACAAAGAGAGAAAAGGAAAGGAAACCAGAATAAAAGTGGGTAGAACATGGAAATGGCTGATCTTTCCAGAGTAGTGGAATGGTCCTTTGTCACAAAGAGTGAACTCACTTCACGTTTCTCCATTGCTAGACTTAGACCAGTAACAATATCAGTACTGTCTAATATTTGGATGGAACATTTAATCCCCCCAAATCTGAAATTACCTTTCAGCTACCAGCCTGCCATTTTTCACAAAAAAACCCTCTCCTGAAAATAAAAGGCACATGTCTTCCCAGTCTCTGAGAAACAGGAGACCCAGCTCACTGGAGTGAAATGATTTACCTTAAGATAATAGACCAGAGGAACCCCAAACCCAGTCTCCAGCTGCCAGGAACCTTTGTTTTATTGTTAAATGTCTGTCTTTGCTGTCTTTTCCTAGACCAAGTAAGTGTAATTGAATGCAGAAATAGCATATGGTCATTATGCTCTAGACTTAGATCCTAAAAGCTGAAACTTTTAATAAAATAAAACCAAAACAGCACATTCTCCTCTCCTTTATAATGATTCTTTACCTACTTAGAATCCAGATGCCCTGTCTTTGATTTTATTAATATCTCCCCTCTCTGCAAATAATGTTACAAGTCTGAAGTAATATGGACACTAGGATTAATTGGAGAGTATTATGATGCCATCCTATTGGAGCCACCCTAGGACAACGAGACTAACCTACAACAAGAAATACTTTCTGTCCCAGGCCAGCATGTGTGTGTCCGTGTGTGTACACACACACACACACACACACACACACACACACAACAGTACATTCCCATCCTGCATGCATCTGGTGGTTTTTGTATTAAATTTTTCACAAGTCTGGTTCCAGTGTTTCAAACTGATTTTACAACCCAGCAGTGTTTAAAGATGTTGCCTTAGAATTTATTTTCAGAGTTAAGGGTCCTTGATCTGTACATATTTTAATTATATAATTAATTATGTTTAACATTCTAAAATATGCTCATTTTCAAGATTTATCTTTATCTTGATTGACTCTCAGGGCAAGAGACGTTATATTTTCATTCTTCAGTGTGATAGTAGTTTTAATCCAGTAATAAGGGGCTCGTGCTTAAGTTCTTAGATGGAGCCAGCAAACACAGGAATGCAGCCCCTGGTGCTGACAGCGGGAATCCTTTTATTTTGTCTGTGCTGTCGGTTTCATTCAGGTATCCTTGAGACTTGAAGTGATAAGGAAGGTTGTGTCACTCTGGTCCTTTATGTTGCCCGCAACGTTAACTCACAACTGATGTGATTAGAAGCCGTGCAGTCCCCCACCCCCCATCCTGGACCTGTGGACCTGAGCCAGGTCTGTGCTGCTGCTGATCCCTCTGGGGCACTTGGCTTTTTTGCTCCGTCCCTACAATAAGCCTAGGTTGGATTTTCTCAGCTGTGGGCCTCTGAGCACATCCTGCTGTGCCTAGTCTTCCCCATCTTCCTGCCCTCATCCAGCCTGTCCTCAGCCCTCACTGCACTTCAGAGCCAGGAGTGCTCCGGAAGGACCAGGAGACCAGGGAAATCAGTGCTGTCTCTTGGATTTGTTCCTCTAGTGGCTCCTGCAAGGCCCAGAGAAGAAACCATTTTACTATGATGTGGAGCCTACCCCAGACCCACTCAAAATAATGACTAGAATTTGGCCACTTTAGATGAACTCCTACAACTTGTCTTTGAGTCTTGAAACCTGGGTTCAACTAAATTGCTTTTTGTTTTTCAGAATTTCTAAAAAGTGACAGCTTGAAAAGTAATTTGCATGCGTTTGAAAAGTGTAAATGGCATATGAAGAATTTAAGAAAGTTCTCTCTGGTAGTAGAGAACAGTAGAATATTCTGTATTTATGTGACTTTTTTCCCCACAACTAAACCAATATTAATATTTCAGTATCATCAACTATCCAATCGGTTTTCTAGTGTTTTTTACAGGTTTTTTTTTTTCTGACACAGCCAGACTGTGCCAGCACATTGCATTTGGTTTAGATGACCAGACAAGTCACTATCTAAACAAGGAAACATTTGACAGTAAAAGGGAATTCTATTCATAGTTACACCAGGACAACAGGCATGAACCTGAATCATCATGGACAAATTGGGATGTCTGCTCACTCTACTTTTTTTTAATTATTATTAAAAAAATACATATAACATTAAATTTACCATCTTAACCAAGTTAAATGTACAGTTCAGTAGTAATCAATATATTCACATTGTTGTGCAACAGCTCTCTGAAACTTTTTCATCTTGCAGAACTGAACTACTGTACCCATTTCACACCTATTTCCCCTTCCCCCTTGCCCTCAGTGACCACCTTTCTACTTTGTGTTTCTATCATTTTGACTACTTTCAATACTTTATATGAGCAGAATCATACAATATTGATTCTTTTGTGACGGCTCATTTCACTTAGCCTAATGCCGTCAAAGTTCATCTATGTCGTAGCATGTGTCAGGATTTCCCTCTTTTGAAAGGCTGCTTAATATTCAATTGTATTTCTATGCTGCGTTTTGTCCATTATCTGTTGATGGATGTTTGGGTTCCTTCTGCCTCTTGGCCTATTTTGAATAATGCTGCAGTGAACATGGGTGTGCCAGTATCTCTTCAAGATCCTGCTTTAAAAAAAAAAATCCTGCTTTCAATTATTTTGGATATATAGTCAGAAATAGGATTGCTGAATCATGTGGCAATTTTCTTCATAACTTTTTGGGGAACCTCTATAGTATTTTCCAGAATGACAGCACCATTCTACACTCCCACCACCAGGCACAGGGTTCCAACTTTTCTGCAACCTTGCCAACACTTGTTATTTTCTGTTGTTTTGGTACTAATCATCCTGATGGGTCAGATGTGACTATTTCATTGTGGTTTTCAATTCCATTTCCCAAATGATTAATGATTCTGAGCATCTTTTCTTGTGTTTATTGGTCATTTGTATGTCTTCTTTGGAGAAATGTCTGCTCAAGTTCTTTCCCCATGTTTTCATTGGATCATTTTTGTTGTTGTTGTTGTGCAGTTGTAGAAGTTCTTTATATATTCTCGATATTAACCACTAATCAAATCTGTTTTTTCAATCATTTTCTGCCATTCTGTAGGTTGCCTTTTCACTCTGTCCATTTTTTCCTTTGACATGCAGTAGTTTTTAAGTTTGTTAGAGTCCCATTTGTCCATTTTTAACTTTGTCAACTAGACTTCTGGTGCCGTCCAATAAATCATTGCCAAGTCCAATGTCCTGAAACTTTTGTGCCATGTTTTCTTCTAGGGATTTAATAGTCTCAGGTCTTGTGTTTTAAGTCTATAATCCACTTCGAATTGATTTTTGTCTGTGGTATAAAGCAAGGGTCCAAATTCATTCTTTTACATGTGTATATCCAGCTATCTGTATCTTTTTTTTTAATCTGTAGAGACAAAAGCCTATCAGTTGCTGAAGCAGTCTACCCTTCAGGATAATATAAATCACACTGAAGACAGATTCCAAAAAGCAGATGTTTCTGTCTTACAGCTGTCAGGTAAGCGGGGCATATTCACTCAAAGCCAGTGTCCAGGGGACCTAGGGTGGCAGTGAATGGTATGTTCAGGCAAGGGTTCATCCTTTGAAGGTTTCTGGAGATTGCTGTGTAACAAGCTGTCACCAGGTCAGAATAAACCAGTACTTTTTCTGTTCTTAATGAACGACAGATTAGCAGTCTTCCCTCCTGGATCTGTGCTGGCCCCCAGCATGGCAACGGCCCAAACAGACCCTCAGATTCTACTGGTATGTCGTAATAGTAACTTGTCACTAAGTACCACTGGAGACACTGCCAAATTCCTTCTTTTTCCCACATCTTCCAGTTTCTTAATCATCAGTGGGAGCATCATGCTGGGCTACCTTCCTCTCCAGAATGTTGGGGGACTTGGGGTTCTTTAAAAGAAAATACTCTAAAAACCCAGTAAAGCTAAATTTTAAGCTTAAATGTAGTTCCTTCAGGCTAGGATTTTTGTTGTAACTGTAATTTTCTTTGTTCTCAGATATTCTGTTCCTGTATTTTTGTTTTCAGTGGTTTTTCTCTTATTACACCTTTTTTGTAGTATGAGTCACCTCAGCTCCTTTGTTAAAGTAAATGCATTAAAGAATGCTTTAATGACTTTCTTATTTTTACATAAACCACCATGTTGCAATTTCACCTACTGGAATAAATAATTTTTTTTAATATCATGTAATTCCCAGTTCATATCTAGATTGCTCAATCATCTCATGAGATAGTTCTTTTTTTTTTTTTTTTCTTGAGGGACATACTTATGGTGCATTAAACTTAGCTGTCTGTCTTTGGAGAGCTATTTCCTAGATAGTATTAGTGTTCAAATCAGTTGCTGCAAAGTTCAGTATTTTGGGTGTTTTGAGGATTCATGGAGGCCTAGCATAGAGCCTGTTAAAGTCCTCAGAGAGTGGTGGTGGTGGTGATAGTCTGAACTCTGCAGATGTGAGACTTTGCAGTCTGCTGCCGTAGAAAGCAGGGCCTCTGCCTGGGTGGAGGTCTTTAGCACTTGGGAAGGATACAGCATGTGTGAGCCCTCACCTGGGCTTTTCATCACCTTCTGCACATTTAAGTCACAGAATTCAAGTCCAGAGGGATCTTAGAAAGTATTTTTTTTTAAAAGAAAGAAAGTATTTATCTGACCCCTCATTTTACAAATAAGACCCCAAGAGAGTGATGCTTCTCTCAGAGCAGTACAGCCAGTCAGCAAACACACCCGTTTGGAAGGTGACTCCACCAGTCTGTTTGCGGTAAGTGTATTTGCGATAGTTAATTGGACAGGCTCAAAAGATCAGTAAATTAGACAGGAAATTATAGTCCCTTGGACGTATATCAGACAATTTGGTACTGTTAATATAGTAATAATCAATATATTCATTTATTAACCTTTTCATAAGCAACGGGATAGGTTGTATCGTCAGGCACCCCTACATTCAATTTCCTCTCTCTACCCTCAAAATGACACTGTATGTTTTGCAAGATTCCAGATTTTCTAGCACTGAGATCACAGGACTTCTCATGGTCCTGGCTGTCATCACAGTTAGATGCTGCTTCTGATATTTTACCTTTGGTCACCATTACCTTTTCACCCTCATGCCTACTCTGATCCTAGGGACTTCTCTGAGCTCCAAAGAAAAGCGGGAAGTGGGCGGGGAGGGCAGAGGGAAATGGAAGCCACATACCCATGTTAGACCTCACAGCCTGGTTACAGGGTAGCAGGAGGGATGTGGGCCCTGAGCTCGGGAGCCACCCCTATGTCTAACTGTGGAAGAAGTGCAGACTTCAGTTACTTTTTGCATCAGATGTCTTAGGCTCTGTCTCTGGACCTGTCACCAAGGTAAGCTGCTTAAACCTCCTGCCTTTGTTTTCAAGAACTTGTCTTGTTAAGCATGTGGGAACTCTCTTCAGATGAACGTGGACACCTTGTTAAGTATCACTCGGCTGCAAAGGTCCTGTGAGGGGGAGCAGGTTACAGGTCAGAAATTCGGCCAGTGCCTTTCCCAGCAATGCCCATGCACCTCCATCCGTGACACCTGTGACCACCACTTTGGAATCAGACTGGTAGCTGACACATCCAAGGTGCCCAGGATGCAGGGGTGGTCCGACCCCCTTCCCCCACCTGCAAGGAAGAGGTGGATTGTGTGTCTTCCCCATTAACCTTTCCAGACTGGTTAATGAGTGGCCTTGATAACTTTCAATGGAAGTTCATTCTCCTCCACAAAATGGAAAAAAAGAGGATTCGACAGAGGGATCACTGTCATTCTGGGGAATCAGTGATTTCTGAGCCCTGGTTCCTAGCACCCATCATTTTGGTGATCTCTCAGTGCTGTGTCCTCATGTTACAAGGTGAATTATCAGTGAGTGCCTAGTGCCAGGGGAGACACCTATGTGTGTACACGTGTGTCTTGGTCATTTAAACTAGAGCTCCTTGAGTGATTTTTACTTTTTGTGACTGCTGTGTGTCACAGGACACCCCCCCCCCAACACACACACACACACACTTCCTTTCAGTATTCTGCCAACATGTAGTTCCTGGCCTCAGAAGCTCCCTTGCCTGCTGTGGCTTGAACAGCATCTTCCCCGTCGACATTTGTTTCACCAAAGTTATTGTGCGGCTGCTGCTCCATTCAGCGCAGTCCTTCACTGCGTGGTGGCCAGCACTCACTCTCTTCGTTTGTGCTTATCACAGGTTTGAACATTAGCAGCGGGACATTCAAGACAAAGACAACTAACAAAATTGCTTCAGAGGCTAGTTTTTCATCGAGCGAAGGAAGTCCTTTGTCAAGGTAAAGTCGTGAAAGCCTTTCTGAACAGTGGCGACAAGAAGAGAAATGTCACTCTGTTAATGAATGAAACTCTGGCTGCATATTATTTTGTTGTTGTGACTTGAGGGAAGGTTAGGGTTTGGGTTTTTGTTGATCTGAAATAACAGTCGAAACTTCAGTCTACCTTTGAAAATATTTGCACCAGAGCCAAGCATTGTTTTGCAGCTGTTGTTTCGTTGGTTTAAGACTCAATTGACACCTCAGTGAACCACAAATTAGCGGCTACAGCTGCTCGCAGTAGGGCTGCTTAGAGACCACATAATGGAGTGTGTCGGAAAAGGGCAGAGAGAAAACCTCGGGCCTTAAAAGAAATAAAGTGGCCTGTTTCTTCTTCCTGAGGCGGCTGACATGTATACTGGCAATTGCTGGGGACTTGTTTTTGTATTCCTCTTTTTCACCAAGCCTTTGGGCCAGGTTACCCTTTCCTTTCCTGCTTCGTCCCTGCTTATTGTCCATAAAGAACAAAATTCATCCTTTCACATTTGGGGAACTGTAGCCCTTCTCATAACTTTTCCAGACAACAGTAAGTGAGCTGGCCAGTTGTGTGCTGGATTTGTCACTGACATGAAATACTGACGGGGCAGTGGCGTTGGGTCAGAAAGAATTTATTGATGGGAATAGAAGCAGTTGCCTGAGGAGATACTTACTGTTTTGGCTTCGGGCTACATGTTGTTTAAAACCACACAAATTTCCTTTTGTGATAACATTTCCCAATTAAAACCTTGTCCTTTAGATGATTGAGTTATATATGAATTAACTTCTTATCCTGATGAAATTTTCAAACAGAAACGTCACATTTCTAATGTCACATATAATATCCCGTAAGATAGTGATTTGATCCAGAAACAGATTTTTTAAACGCAAAAAAAAAAAAAAAGTCCTGCTTTCACTTATATTGTGAAAACATTGTAATATTTTTAGGTCCTGGAATATATTAAAATGAGATTGATCTTCTAAAATTAGATTGTTGGGCAGCCCTGGTGGCTCAGCGGTTTAGCGCCACCTTCAGTCCAGGGCCTGATCCTGGAGACTCAGGATCGAGTCCCACATCGAGCTCCCTGCATGGAGCCTGCTTCTCCCTCTGCCTGTGTCTCTGCCTCTCTCTCTCTCTCTGTGTCTATCATGAATAAATAAATAACATCTTTTTTTAAAAAAAAAAGTCTTTAAAAAAATAAAATAAAATAAAATTAGATTGTTGCATTTAGAAACCTGACAAGTTCAATTTTAGGAAATTAGTCATGTGGTTATCAGAAACCAGCGTCTTTAGTACCTGGGTTTTCATCCTTGTTTTTGAAGGAAGTGGGAGGAAATGAAGCACGGGACAGGAAGAGTGTTAAAGTTTTTTTTTTTTTTTTTTTTTTTTTAGAAATTCAAGTTCTGGGTCTTCTAAAGGAAATTTTAAAAGGTAGTAAGTTCTACAGGTGGTTTCAGGGCTCCCTGTTACCATTTGGCTCCATGATACATCTGTAGTTGTTAAAGATTGTTAGAAGTGATTTTTCCATTATATCATAGAGGCACTAAAAAGCTCAATCCTTCCTTAAATTGTCTTTATATATATATGTGCTCTTGACACAGTTTTATTTTTTTTTTAATTTTTATTTCTTTATGATAGAGAGAGAGAGAGAGAGAGAGAGAGAGAGAGACACAGGCAGAGGGAGAAGCAGGCTCCATGCACCGGGAGCCCGACGTGGGATTCGATCCCGGGTCTCCAGGATCACGCCCTGGGCCAAAGGCAGGCGCTAAACCGCTGCGCCACCCAGGGATCCCCGTTGACACAGTTTTAAAATACATTGAGAAAGCAGCTGGGCCCCAAGAACATTTACTCAGCCTTGTGTCTGTATTTCACTAAATTATCACTTTCTTCCCCCTTCATTCCAAGGCAGAGACCTATTGTTCCTGGATGAAATTAACTTTCTAAATGAATTACAAGTCATTTCATCAAGTCCTTTAAGAGAAAAAAAAAAAAAAAAGGCCTTCAAGGAACCTTTGGTCTAGACCCTTGATAATCCAGTGATGAAAAGGTGCAGGTGTTGAGTGTGTGGGTTTGGCGTGCTGTTGGTCATGGTGTGGTTCCTGTGCTGGGTTTGGTGTTGTGAGTACAGCACCCTGGGCTTTGGAGAGCTCTGGGTTTGCTGTTTGTGCTTGGATTCACTGAAATTTCTTAGAGGCTTACATTTAAGGATCCCACTTACTGCAGTCACTCCTTGTGCTTTATTGCTTTTACAAGTGGTCTCGAAACCCAGTACTTGAGAATAAACATAACAGTGCAGTGCTGCTGTAGCACTTTTAAAAATTCTTCTTTGCTCTATTTTGTCAGTGAGCTGATGAGCAACCTCAAAAAAAAAAAAAAAAGCCCTGCTGGACTTAAAAAAAAAAATGGCTTCCTCTGATGTCCTAGAGACAATAATTATGATGTGCTAGTTAAGCCCAAACTACAGCTGAGGGATTTTACTTTAAAGCAGCGGCTTGGGTGCAAAAATGCATTTATAGCTCTTTGTCTGCACCTCATTATGTGTGGGCCTGATTCATTAAGTAATTGGTTTGCAGTTGTTTACATGAGTATTAAGGCCTTCTTTTCAGCCGCCTTTGAGAGATACATTGTGCAAATGTTGCCTGTGATGAATGCAGAATGAGGGCCAGAGGGTCCGTCCTATTGGCTAAACAGTGCACTCTGTTGAAAAGCCAGAGAAAGAGATTGGGTGCTGCTTTGCATAGCAATGACTTTCTTAATAAGCGTTGCAGATTAATACACACAAGCTATAAAAGATGCAAAGAGATACTCTTAGCACATTTATACATGCTCATTTCATTGTGATGGTGGTGGGATCTGGGTGCTTTCATATTCCGATTTTCAGAGCAGCAGCTTCAGTGCATGAGCCGTAATAGAATCCGATGTTTATTGTATTATAAATCACGGGCAAGTAGGCAGATCGGCAACAGTTTATTATTAAAGATTCTTTCAGTGTAAATCTTTTTCTACCATTGTATTTGCTTCAGCAAAATCATTTTGTGGTTGAGTGGGGATGAAAGGCATAATGTACGAAGGAGTGAGTCCTAATAGGAAGCCGTTCTCTGAGTAAAGACCACTTGTTCCCTTTTGTTCAGGGGTGCATGCCAGAGCTTCCTCTCCTCTGCAAACATTGTCTCGCTTTACCTTCCCCAGGAAGCGTTGTTCACGCTCCCGATCCATTTATTCAATTGAGAGTATATTTTAACAGCCTGCCGTGTAACTTCAGTTTACTGGCTGGATCGAGATAACATTTTACCCAAAGAAAAGGATGTGTGCTTGCAACACAATTGCCTGGGGGAAAGGTAGCAGAAGTCACCCAGCTGCAGCACCCTGGCAGGGCCACTGTGGGTGGCATTCCTGCCCACCCTGCAGCTGGGAGCGGCCAGCGGAGGGCGCCAGGCTGCAGCTGATGCTGTGGTGGGGACTGCTCTCTCTCTTCCTGCTTGGTCACTGTGCCCTTTTCCCTTGGGATAACACAGAGATCACAAGGAAGCCATTCCAGTGAAATAAAAATGTGGTTTTCCTGGGAGTCCTTTAAGGTTTCCTATTAGAGCTCCCGTTCTTCGTCTCTGGCTTACCAAATCTGCATTCCCCTTAAATTCTACTAAGTAAGCAGCTGCCTACCTGTTTCTCGTCACAAACCCACACACTTTATTTTTTCTATACAGAGCATGAAAGATCAGTCACTTGCTTGACTAACTGAAAGGAAGTAGTTAACAAGTGGACTCTAGGCAGCTTTAAAAAAAAAAGGCATTTGCTGCAGGGTCCCTAGCTAACCATCAGGGGGCGCTCGGACTTTGTCAAATTAAAACTGTCCGCCTTCCCTCAGCCCTTAAAACTTAAAGTTAGTATTTACAGAGGTTGGTTGGCATACTTGCATACTTGTGGGTTGGTTCTTCTTCTTCTTCCTCTTCCTCCTCCTCCTCTTCTTCTTCTTTTTTTTCTTCACTTTCTGAATTGTTTTATGCCTTCTGGTTTTTCAGAAATATGTCTTTTTTTGAGGAAAATTCTAGCTGAAGATGCTGTTGGAGACATTTTAATAATTTATTTTAGCTAGCAGTCAAATCATTCAAAATTAGAATTCAGAGTTTTGAGATCACATCTTCCCATTACTTAGTTATTTTCAGTCTCAGAGTGAGACCCTAGAACTGGAAGGGCACTTCCCACTAGGAATCCCTCCTCATTGTCCCTGACACCATAGACCCTGCCCTCAGCAGGATCTTTTTTTTTTTTTAATTTATTTTTTTGTAAGTTTTTTTTTTTTTTAATTTATGATAGTCACAGAGAGAGAGAGAGGCAGAGACATAGGCAGAGGGAGAAGCAGGCTCCATGCACCGGGAGCCCGATGTGGGATTCGACCCCAGGTCTCCAGGATCACGCCCTGGGCCAAAGGCAGATGCCAAACCACTGCGCCACCCAGGGATCCCCTCAGCAGGATCTTAAGTCTCGTTGCTAGACTCCACACATGACCTCAAAGTCACAATAACTTGGGTAGTTTGTTTACAGGCTGTGGACACTTTTTTTCCTTTAAAATAATGATCTTGACCATGAGGTTGAGAGTCATTGTGTTACTAATGTTAGGACATCTCTCAGATCTGGCTGTTTTCCAGATTCCTCTTCCCACAGGGCCAAGAATGAGTGTCTGACACACTAGCCTGAAGGTTGCTTCTCTGCTGCTGAACCCTCATGGTTCCTGTTGCTCATACCCCACTCAACCACCACAGGTCCTACAGTCTGCAGTGCCCCCCTGCCTGCTCCCCCATGTCTCTGTGCCCACTGAACAGCCTCATGTCATGCCCTCATACAACCTGCTGTGTCATGTGCCCGGGCTTCTATTCCTCCTCTTTTGCCAGAATTCTTCTGCTCCACTCTACCATGTGGCTGATGCCTACTAGATTGTCAAGGCTTAACTATTAACATTCTAAAAGTTTCCAAAGTGGAGGATCTGGTCATATAGATGCCCCTATTGTGGCCCTGTGGCTACTTCCAGTGTCATCTGTAGCATAGGGGTGGCAGCCATTTGCAAATACCTTGCCCCCACTGTAAGCTCCTCACTGGGGCTTGGGAGGTTTTCCTCAATTGCCAGTGCTCAATAACTATTGGACTTGCTGAATGAGTGAGCATCTGTATATAGCTCCACCATTTACTCAAGCATCTGTCTTAGATGCCCTCACCTCTGGACAGCATCACGTACCCCAGCCACAGGGAATTACGCATTCCACAAATGTCCAAATGTCTCTGTCCACACAAGTGTGTAGAAGAAGGAGGGCCAGGTGCACAGTCACATTTCCAAAGGGAGACCCATACAGTCCATTTTGACTGCATGTGGTGTGCTCGTGCGCTCTGCAGTGTATGGGTGTGGACACTTACACACCCATACACACCCATACACCCAAGAGTGCCTTCCTGGGGTCCTGACCAGACTGCCATCCTGTCTGTTGGAGAAATGATGTCTGGCTCCTGGTCCTGAACCTGACATGGCCTTATGGGCTCTTGGTACAAATGGGGCCTGGATGTTGCCACCCAATTTAGCTGCCGTCAATTCTCAGCTCATTCCACAGTTGCCTTTTATTTTGGCTTGTGTCACATTCTTAATTTGGTTTCACTGGAGCAGTAGAGGCCCAGACAGAGATCAAATGTGTCTTGTTTGTTGCTGTAGGGCCAGCACAGAGCTGATGTGTAGTGTCACCTGTATGAGATTTATGAGAGAGTGAATGAGTGAGTGAATGAATGGGTAGACGAACAAACAGCTTATTGCAGATGAGATGCCTCTGCCCACTGCATGTGTCGGGCCTGGCAGAGGCAATTTCCCTGTCTTTTCCTTGTCCTCAGGGCTCCAACCCATCAGGCTCCTCAAGGAGGAGACTTCATGCATCTTGAGCCTGTTTCTTTTCAGTCTGGACCCAGACTTTCCCTTTCCTTGGCCACTGTGCCAGAGGACCTGTCCCCTCCACTTAGACCCCATGACTGTACATCACTAAACCAAGCATGTGCCTTGTTCTCCCAAAAGTCTTGACTGTGCAGCAGTGCCGCGCCCCAAGGCCTGCTGTACCCAGGCTGTTGAGCAGGATTGTCTCAAAGCTTAGCAGAACACTGCAAGGAATGCCTTACTACCCCATTTTGCAGACAGAAAAGGGATTCTCAGAGAGGTTGGGAACTTGCCCAGGGTCACACAGGGACCAGAGTCGAGCATTGAGCGTAGACTCTGTCTGGCCCCAGAGCTGACACTGTCTCCCATCAGCAATCCTGCTGTCCCAGGTTGGGACTAGCTGTCCCAACCCAGATTCTCCCCACCCTGCTGTTTGAGCACTTCTCACAAGTGCCCATGGAGACAAGTGTTTGCCGCGTGTGCCTTTGGGAAGCGTCAGTGTTACAGGAGGAGCCCTGTCCCACCTCTGCCCCACCATCTGCTGGCTCAATATGCCTTGGGACATACCCTTCACTCAACCTCTCTGGGCCCCACCACCCATACAGTGAAAGTGCTGGATTGATAATCCATAAATGCTCAGCTATCATTTATTAATAGATTTCTTAGAAACTCATAGATTTTCCACACCTCATTTTTGCCTCTGCTTGCTGGTTTCACAAAGCAAAACTTCATGTTTACAATAGGCCTTGCCTTCTAACTTTGTGTTTATGATGACTGTGTTACTAAGTGACTCTAGCCTTTCGATTCTATAAAATGAACAGTTGACACACATAATTCTTTAATACTCTGTCACCATGATTGCATATGTAGGTGCCAGGTACTGCTCTTACAATAAAACCTGTTGAGACCCTAGCCAACCTTAACTTCTTAAGTTTAGCAAGAGTGAGAACAAAAGTGACTTTGATTAGAGTTGTCCTAATCTGGTTTGTCAATAGCAGAGAAATTTATAAACAGTTACTGAAATGCATCAAAAAATAAGATGGCTTAATGGATAGACAGAGGGAAGGTGTGTGATAAAGCCAATATGGCAGGAGGTTAACCACTGAGAGTCCCCTTCATGGGTATGTGGTGTTCACTAAGGGAGAAATTACCAAACCTCCTGGGAAATTCTGCAGAATTTAGAAGTAAAGTCTAAAAGTAAACTTTTAGGGTAAAAATCAAGTCTACTATCTTCGATTCCAAAAGTTACCCATGAAAGACCCATGCAGGGGAAAGGTAGGCCCTTTGGTGGGCTGCAAGTATGGTGTGTATCACCCATGCAGTAGGCGTGGTGTGCTGTGGCCCAAGGGCTAAGTCCTGGCCTAGCCACTGCCTGGTCCTGTGCAGCCTGCAAGCTAAGAGTGATTTTTGCAGTTTTAAATGGTTGAGGGAAATCCAAAGAATAATGTTGTATGACACCTGAAAGTTCTACGAAATTCAAATTCTAGTGCCTATAGATGAGGTTGAATTGTAATGCAGCCATGTCTGTCAGTTTACACATTGTCCACTGGGACTGTTGTCATGCTACAAGCACACAAGTGAGTAGTTGTGGCTGAGACCATATGGCCCACAACACCCAAACCATTTGCTCTCTGGCTCTTTATAGCAAACCTTTGCCGACCTGGGCTTTTTAAGATGGAAATATTTCTTCCCTGCCCTCAAAGAAAGTGGAGCAGTCAGATTCCAAGCTTCCAAGCACATGTGATGGAATATGGTGACCCTATCTCATGACCTGAAAGACTAACTCTTCCATTTCTTATGCCCTCCGAAGTGAAAGTGTTCTTTCTCTTACTGACTATAGTAGCTAAACAAGTTGGCTATATCCAGTATTACAGGGAAAGCTCCCCCACCATGGTCTCATCTTAGCTTTACACATTAGGTGCAGCTCAGAAAGAACTGTTGACCCAAAGAATTGTGTGTGTGTGATCAATTTGAGATTTGTGACACTCCAGATCAACTTTGGGGTGTCACATTGGCGTGCAGAGATGGTTTCCCACACGGAAAAAAATATTGCCCCTAAGGTGTGGGGATGGAATAGGAAACACCTGGAAGCATTGTCCACCTTTCTCAGTGGGTGAACTACATGCATTTATTAGTTCTGCAACATTTCTTGCCCATTTCCAGTTAGAAACTTGAACAACCTGATTCTGAAGTCCCATAAGTAAAAACATGCCAAACAAATAATGTGTCAGCAAATATTGGTTAGGGGTCTTTAAGCAGGGCCCTGCTCTTGGTGAGGTTCCTCTTTTCATTCATATGTAAGCCCCAAGCACTCACTAAGTGCAAAGCACTAGGTTACCCAGGTAAGCCGAAACAGGTACGGTCACTACCTTCGTGGAGTTCACACTCTATAGGGGGAGTGATCATATATGCTTCAATTACACAGATGAGTGTGAGACAGCAACCTGGATGAGGACTCAATGTGGCAGTGAGGGAGGGCAGGAATGAGGAGCTGAAGGGCCCACCCAAGTCTGGAGATCAACCTTGGAGGTGCTGTTCAGGATTCAGGGCTTTTGCCAAAAAACAATAGGAAGGCATCATGGGGCTTTAGCGATGAAGTGGAGATATCAGGCTTGTGTTTCAACAAGTTCACTCTTGTTGCTGAGTGGAAAATGGACTACAGGGGACATGATGTTTTTGGCATCATCAATCAGGGGCTGTTCCAAAGGTCCAGGCAAGAGATGATGGTGTAGTTGGATAGTTGGTGGCAGCCTAGAGGGAAGAGCAATGACTACAGGAAGTACTGGAAAATAAATTGGTGGAACGAAGGCCTTGATTGGGTGCAGGAGGGCCCAGGAGTAGAAGGAGTTGGGGAGGGAGCAGAGGGTCCAGGTGCCTTTGGCAGAGACGGGAGGAGCCTGGCCTGGCAGGGGAAGGGAACCACGCTGGGGAGATTGTGAATTTGGTCATGAATGGGCATGTTGACTACAGGACCCTTTGAAGGCAACCAAGTGGAGCGAGCACGTGAGCCCTGGCCATGTTTCTGGAGCTCAGAGAAGTGGCTGCCCCACCCCCCACCCTGGGATCTGGCCTGTACTCACTGGCTATTCTGCAGTTGCTCTTGCCAAGGGCTCCACTACCACATCTCACCGCATCCCCCTTTCCTCTGTCCCAGGTTTGCTCCAGCTTTTAAAAGCAGAGCCCAGGAGGTACCCTGCCTTCTCAGGGGTCCTGCAGCCACTTACCACCCACTCTGTTCTCACAGTTCTCCCAGCCCTTGGCTCTTTCCCCCTCTCCCCTGCAGCTCTCCTTGCTACAGCTGGAAAATTATCCTCTCTGTACCCCACCAGCATTGTTATGACCAACCTCTGCCCTCTGCCTCTGGACCAGTGTCCTCTTGAAATGGGAAGTAGGTAAACAGTAGACACACAACACAATAGTTGCATTTAGAGTGTGTATGTGTGTGTGGGGGGGCGTGTAGGCTAGTACTTCATGTCAGATGGATCCATGTGGGCAGCACCTTTCTGCCACCTCCATGTCTGCTGGTGAGTGCCAGACCCTCTCAGAAGGCCATGGGGGCGCCCCTTCTTCATGGGGAAATCGCTCCGGCCCCTAGGTGGTCATGGCAGATCATGAAACAGGTACCAAGTTTAAAGGAAGCGTGGAAAGATATTGAGCCTAGAAAGTAATAACCTGAGTGGAGCTTATTTTACAGAAGAAAAAACATAAATAACATTACCTATGGCAAAGAGCAGATTTTTAAGCCACAGGTTAGCCATAGGGAGGGAGAAGGTGAGTTAACAGCGTTTCCTATGTCAAGAGGACTGGGGTCCCGGTCAGGAGCAGACCGTGCACATTGGCAACTGTGTTTTCTTCATTCTACTCAACTAAAAGGCTGGGTGGAATCTGTTTTAATGAAATAATCTGTAAATGTAAATGCTAGCAGATACCCTGCCAGGACCACGTTGCTAGTATTTGATGCCATAAACATTAGCATCTTGTGCATGTGACACCTAGAAACCTTCTCAGTGGTGCCCGGGATCTTTGTTTTTCTTTCCCGTGCCTTAGCGCATTTCTGTAAGCAGCTGGGAGTTTATTCTGCACTCCCTTACTAAGCTGTTAAGGATTGCCATCACTGGCTTGATGGAGAGGAGTCTTCACTTCCTCACTAGCTTCTTGCATTCCATCCTGGATCCTCTACTTCAGGTACTTGACTTTTAGCTTGTTTGAAAGTGCCGAAGCTCTGGCATATTGTGGTTTTTAGAGGGCTGTCAGAGGGAAGTCGGTGCTCTGCCTCACTGACCATGTCCTCGTTGTCTAGCTGCAAGCGGCACAGACTGACCTGGTCTCTGCAGAGCCAGTAGGGAATGCGCTCAGGGACACGAGTGATGCTGTCACAGTAGGGACCCACCCCCCAAAGCATCAGCGAGCACCTCTGGCCGCTGTGGTCCTGACATTTTCTTCTTGTTCTTAAGACTTGGAGAGCACACATAAAACATCTGGCCTTTCCGTGCATCGTACGTGCTTCTTTGCTGATGCACTCATTGTAAAAATATCAGTCTGATTGTCATTTTTTTTTTCAGGACTTAGCCTATTTCTTTATCTTTCAGGTATGAAAACGAAAAGAAATTAACTACCAATTTAGAGTCTAAAGGTAAGAGGATTCCGTTTGTGCTTTAATCAAGAGTTGTTTGTTGCCTTCTATTTGTTTTCTGCATCGTCGTGTAAGGAGCGTGAAGTATGCCTGTGATCATAGGGGGCCCTTCCACCTCCCCATTTCTGAGGGGAGTGGAGGGCTGCTCGAGGCACCATTCTTCGGTGGCAGGGCAGGGACCTGACGACACATGAGGGGCCACGGGCCACGATGGCTTAGCATTCTAATTTGCAAGTATGAACACAGGGTATCCTGGCCTCCACATCCACTTGTTGTCAACACGGGTATATTCTACCTGTGAAATGTTTTTTGCCTCTGTCCCCAACCTCACAGCGAGTGCCCACAAGTACCCACTGCTCATGACATGACAGGGCTCTTGCATTAGACTAACTGGCTTCCTTATATCCAGTCCCTCCCCAAGTCCTGATTGTCCTCCACCTGGCCACCAGCATCCAAAACCTCAATGAACCTTCTTTCCTTCCTGGTTAAAAATTGCTGGTGTCCCCCACTATGTGCAGGATAGAGTCTGTAACTTTCTCCCTTGTGGTCTGTCCCTTCCCTCATTTCTAGCTCAGTGCCTTGCAAGGTCTTGTCTTCTTCTGGTCGTGACTTGAGTCATTTTTTTTTTCCAAATAAAGACATACCTCGGAGGCATTGCAGCTTGGTTCCAGACCACTGCAATAAAGCCATTATCGTAATAACACCAAATAAATTTTTTGGTCTCCCAGTGCCTATAAAAGTTGTATTTACACTATACTGTAGTTTCTTAAATATGCAACAGCATTATGTCTAAAAAAATGTTAATTAACATAATTTAAAATAATTTTTAAAACACTTTATTACTAAAAGATGCTGTCATCTGAGCTTTCTGCGAGTCATGATCACTAATCACAGGTCACTGTATGAAATGAAATAATAATGGAAAAGTTTGAAATAATGAGAGAATTGCCAAAATGTGACGGGGACACAAGATGAACAAATGCTATTGGAAAAATGGCACCAGCAGACTTGCCTGATGTGGGGTTGCCACAAACCTTCAATTTGTAAAAAAACACAATCTCTGAAAGCACAGAGAAAATGAGGTGTGCCTGGATACCACACTTGTACCTCTGTGCCTTTCCTCATACTGCTCCTACCCTTTTCCTTCGCACTCTGAGCCCCTATTCGTCTCTGAACCCTCAGCTCACAGGGAGCATCTCTTCCACCTTGCATGCTAATGCTGTGGCATATCCCTTGGAGCTTGGGCTCCCCTACTCTGTCTGCTTAGACCCCCTTCCCAGTGGGCCCTGATCGAGAGTGTGGGTGTAAGTCAGACATACTGGGTGGGACTCCTGGCTGGAGCACCCACCAATGCTGTGATCAGGGTGGTCACAGCCTCTCTCTGCCTGTTTGCTCAGTTGATGGAGGCAGTCATACTTGCCTTCCCAGGTTGGTACAAGGATGAAATGGGGTTCAATATAAGCAGTCATCACAGAGTGGCAGGCAGTGAGTCCCATGGAGATAACAGTGGTCGTGGAGATGGTCACTGAGCAGACCATGCCCCCCCCCCCCCCACATTCTGTCCTACTACCTTGGAGATCGCAGCACCGTTTGCAGGCAGCCGTGGCCTTCCACTGCAGGCAGCTAGCCTCAGCCTGAGGGCTTTCTCTAGCCCTGGAAGCATGCACCATCCCCACAGGGCTGCCCAGAGTGCCAGGGACTGGGTGCCCTGGTTGAGAATAACTCTAAACCAATGAGAAGTGGAAGTGGGTTGGGAAATAACCCCATTTCCTTGCTCTGTTGGGATAGTTTGAGGAGAGTTCTGAGTGTCTCAGAGGGTACCCTCAGGACTGAGCCTCCTGTCTACTGCCCACCCCGCTGTGGGCTCTCGCTTCCTGTGTCACTCTTCTAGCTGCTCCCATCATTCCCAGGGATCACCTCCCAAGTAAGCTATGTGCACCCAAGGCCTGGTCTCAGTATGCACCTCACTTCTTTCCTTTCACCACGTCTTCCCTTCTCTCATCTGCTCTTGTGAAGACCAGAGGAGATCAAAGTGCCAGAGCAGCAGAGCTGAGGTGGTCCCCGGTCTGATGAAATACTTAGCTAGCTGTGCTTCTATGGTACCCTGGTCTTAAACCCCCGTCCTACAGTAAGGAGGTGGTCACAACAAGAAGGGAAGGAAATATTCTGCAGTGTTTTCCATAGAACACACTGAAATGTTCGCATTTGTGCAGTATTGACACACATTCCAGACACATGTGGTTGGGTTCATCCCTCCATGTCCCTGGTAGGCCTTTTGCAGGCCTTGTCTGGCTGTTGAAGACAAGCTGATCAGAGTGGAGAGATGTTAAATAGCTGTCTGGTTTTCTTTTCCAGCCTTCTGGGGTGAGTCTGATGACAGTAACTCAGAAATTGAAGCGGCTTTACGTCCTAGAAACCATAACACATCCGCCAATGATTTTGATGATTTTTATGACTGAGTAACGACTGTTGGAAATAAAGTCGTTAAGGAAACTAAAGACCTGTGTTCGTATGTAGTGTCCTAAATAAGCATGTCATTTTAAGCTTACTAATTGTTTAATGGGAAAACTTGGGACCACATTGCCATTGGAGCGAAATTTCATGGCATAAACATAAATAACATATTCATTTGAAGTGTCATCAAAAAACAAAGTGATAAATGCAATGCCCATCAAAATTCAGGTTGGTTTCTTTGTAGAAATTGACAGGCTGATCCTATAATTCATATGGAAATCCAAGGGAACTAGAATAGCTAAAACAGTCTTAAAAAAGAAAACCAGAGTCAGAGCACTCATATTTCCCAATTTTGAAACTTACTTTAAAAACTATAGTAATTGGGAGGCCAGGTGGCTCAGGGGTTTAGCACCACCCTCGGCCCAGGGCCTGATCCTGGAGACTGGGGATCGAGTCCCACATCAGGCTCCCTCCCTGCATGGAGCCCGCTTCTCCCTCTGCCTGTCTCTCTCTCTCTCTCTCTCTCTCTGTCTCTCATTAATAAATAAATGAAATTTTTTTAAAAATGTAGTAATTGAGACAGTGTGGGACTGCAATAGATATACAGATTAATAAAATATCAATATATACAATTTAGAATTGATAATCCAGAAACAACTCCTTACATATATGGTCACTTAATTTTTCACAAAGGCACCAAACCATTTAGTGGGGGAAAGAATAGTCTTTCCACATAGGGTGCTAGGTCAACTAGATAGCCACCTGCAAAAGAATGAAGCTTGCACTGTATACAAAATTAACTCAAAATAGATCAAGTACCTAAATATAAGAGCTGAGCTAGATTATAAAACTCTTAAAAGAAAACATAGATGTAAATCTTTGTGACCTTGCATTAGGCGATGCTTTCTTTCTTATGACACCAAAAGCCCTGAAGAGAGAAAAACAGATATATTAGACTTCATCAAAATTAAAACTTTTTTTGCTGCAAAGGACACATCAGGAAAGTGAAAAGAGGGCAGCCCTGGTGGCTCAGCAGTTTAGTGCCACCTTTGGCCCAGGGCCTGATCCTGGAGACCCAGGATCAAGTCCCGCATTGGGCTCAGTGCATGGAGCCTGCTTTTCTTTCTGCCTGTGTCTCTGCCTCTCTCTCTCTCTCTCTCTCTCTCTCTCTCTCTCTCAGGAATAAATAAATATTTTTTTTTAAAAAAAGGAAAGCAAAAAGAATGGGAGAAATATTTGCAAATCATTTATCTAAAAAGAGATTTGTATCCAGAATATATAAAGAATTTTTATAACTCAATAATAAAAAGACAACTAATCCAACTTAAAAATGAGCAAAGGATCTGAATCAACATGGCTCCAAAGAAAATATACACTTGACCAACAAGTACATGAAAAAATGCTGGACATCATTAGTCTTCAGGGAAATGCAAGTGAGAATCACAGTGAAATATCATTAGGTATCCTCATTCCCACTGCAATGGCTAGAATCAAAAAAGGTAATACTGGTGGTGGTGAGAATATGGAGAAAACCTCTCATACACTGCTGGTGGGGATGTGAGACAGTGCAACAACTTTGGAAAACACTGGCAATTCCTCAAAAGGACAAAAAGGTGGGAAGCGGTTATCAGGGAAATCCCATCCCTTGTGAAGCCCAGTGGGGTGAGATCTCAGGACAGCAGGCACAGCATCTGGAACATTTCTTAGGGTGCTTACAGAGATCCCATCTGGAAAATAATAGATGACCACAATTGAATGTTGCCAGTGAGAGGTTATGTATGCATCATGCCCCCACTGTGCTGTGATGAGAGGGACACTTCACCCGTGTGATGTTCTCTCCAAAAACTCCTAACCAGAATCTCATCGTGGGGGGAAAAAAATCAGACAAACTCTAATTGAGGGACATTTAGCAAAATACCTGGCCATCTTCAAGACTGTCAAAGTCATGAAAATCAAGAGGAGATGAAAGTGTCACAAACCAAAGGAGACATGACGACTAAATGCAACATGGGATCCTAAGTTGGACCCTCAAACTAAAGGGGAAAAAAAAGGCATTAATGGAAAATTTAGGGAAACCCAAATGAAGTTCAGAGTTTAGCTGACAGTAATGTACTAGTGTTGGGTTCTTAGCTTTTACAAATGTACCGTGGTAATGTAAGATCAGGGGGATGTACATTAGGAACCAGACAATACAAGAACTCTCCGTAATATCTTTGCAACTTTTCTATAAATCTGAAATTATTCCACACAAAAATCCAGCAGTAAACGTTGACAATTGAGTGATAACCTTCTGGACCTCATCTCTGTGTATAGATGTTTGTTTTTTAAAAATAGTCTTAAACGTTTCTATTTTAATTCTAAATATTATCAGAAAATATAACAGCCCTTCAGCTGGACACTAACCAGGTATTTGTCAGCTGTGCTAACAGAAATCACAGAGTCCTACATCTAGAACACCTTTTACTGGAGATCACAAGTCGTGTGTACTGATGACGATCCAGAAGAAAGCTAGGTTGGTAACAACCTACCACTTTGCTAGCACTTAATCTCACTTTTGAGTAGTGGGAGAGTAGGCCTGGGGCTCAGTGCCTTTACCAGGCAAATTGTCCAGCTAAATTTAATAAGATTCCTTTTTCAGTTGCTTTCTATTTCGCTTAAGTGACCCAGATTTAAAATGAATAGAAATAAAGTTTCCTTTATATATACATTTTAGGAAAAAGAAGATAATCAACTTTTTAAAATATACCAAATAAATAGCAATATAAATGATGCACAAGACGTGTGCAGGAAGGGTGAAGCATTGAGTCTGTGAAGGCAGGTGGGCACATCATATCGGAGCAGGTCCAGTGGGGAAGGAGAGAATTTGTGGGCATTATCCGCAGATTTCAAATGTCCCCCCCCCAAAAAAAAAAAACAGAAGTAAAACCATTGACTCACTGACATTTGTTGGCAGCATATCAAATGGTTTGCAAACCAGGAGCACTAAAACCATAACATGGGATAAGGTCAGAGTCTGTTGTCAAGGGGCTTAGATAGTATAGAACCAGGAACTATTTATTCTTCACAGTGATTGGTTACATTAGAATTTTCTTAAATGAAAGGAAATTGGTTGGTGGCTACCATATATCAACTTGGGAGAACAATTTAAGTTTCACTTATGATTTTCATAAGCAAGAGGTGAAAGTCAAGTGAGCCTCGCCTGTCTTACAAAATAAGCTAAATTAAGATTTGCTTGTATGACTAACGTGATTTTGTCTGCTCAGAATTTTCAAGACTGGTCTCTGTGTGTGTTTTAACACAGACAATATGATTGTCCACAAAGAAAATCAAGAGACTCAAAAGGCAAAGTGTTGAACCAGTGAGCTCAGCAAAGTTGGTGGCTTTTCATCAAAAATCAACATTATAGCAATACACTAGGAAAACCAGTTTGAAAACCTTTGAGAGATGTCATTCACAGTAACAACAGAAATGATATGTTAAAAATCTAAAGCTTATTTAAAGACAAATTTTAAATTTTTTTATTTAAATTCAATTTAATTAACATATGCTGTATTATTAGTTTCAGAGGTAGAATTTAGTGATTCATCAGTTGCATATAACACCCAGTGCTCATTACATCATGTGCCCTTCTTAATGCCCATCACCCAGTTACCCTTCCAGCAACCCTCAGTTTGTTTTCTATATTTAAGGGTCTTATGGTTTACTTCCCTTTCTGTTTTAATATTTTATTCCCTTCCCCTATGTTTTGTGTCTTAAATTCCACAGATGAGTGAAATCATATGGTATTTGTCTTTCTCTGACTGACTTATTTCACTTAGCATAATACCCTCTAGTTCCATTTATGTCGTTGCAAATGGCAAGATTGCATTCTTTTTGAGGGCTGGGTAATATTCCATTATATACATCATTTCCTTATCCATTCATCTGTTGATGGACACCTGGGCTCTTTCCGTATTTTGGCTATCATGGACATAGCTGTTATAAACATTGGGGTGCATGTGCCACTTTGAATCACTGTTTGTATCCTTTGGGTAAATACCTAGTAGTACAATTGCTGGGTCATAGGGCAGCTCTATTTTTAACTTTTTAAGGACCCTCCATACCGTTTTCCAGAGTGGCTGCACCAGTTTGCATTCCCACCAACAGTGCAAGAGGGTTCCCCTTTCTCTGCATCCTCGCCAACATCTATCATTTCCTGACTTTTAATTTTAGCCATTCTGACTGGTGTGAGGTGGTATCTCATTGTGGTTTTGATTTGTATTTCCCTGATGGCAAGTGATGCGGAGCATTTTCTCATGTGCTTGTTGGCCCTGTGTATGTCTTCTTTGGAGAAATGTCTCTTCATGTCTTCTGCCGATTTCTTGACTGGATTATTTGTTTTTTGGGTGTTGAGTTTGATAAGTTCTTTTTTTTTAAAAAAAAGATTTTATTTATTTATTCATGAGAGACACAGAGAGAGAGAGGCAGAGACACAGGCAGAGGGAGAAGCAGGCTCCATGCAGGGAGCCTGACATGGGACTTGATCCCGGGTCTCCCAAGATCACACCCTGGGCTGCAGGCGGTGCTAAACCGCTGCACCACTGGGGCTGCCCTGATAAGTTCTTTATAGATCTTAGATACTAGCCCTTTATCTGATAAGACATTCACAAGTATCTTCTCCCATTCTGTAGGTTGTCTTTTGGTTTTGTCAACTGTTTCCTTTGCTGTGCAGAAGCTTTTTATCTTGATGAAGTCCCAGTAGTTCAATTTGGCTTTTGTTTCCCTTGCCTTTATAGACATGTCTAGCAAGAAGTTGCTCCAGCCAAAGTAAAGGGGTTGCTGCCTGTGTTCTCCTCTAGGATTTTGATGGACTCTTGTCTCACATTTAGGTCTTTCATCCATTTTGAGTTTATTTTTGTGTATGGTGTAAGGAAGTGGTCCAGTTTCATTCTTCTGCACGTGGCTGTCCAATTTTCGCAACATCATTTGTTGAAGAGACTGTCCTTTTTCCAGTGGATATTCTTTCCTGCTTTGTCGAAGATGAGTTGACCATAGAGTTGAGGGTCCATTTCTGAGGCCTCTATTCTGTTCCATTGATCTATGTGTCAGTTTTTGTACCAGTACCACACTGTCTTGATGACCACAGCTTTGTAGTACAGCCTAAAATCTGGCATTGTGATGCCCCCAGCTCTGGTTTTCTTTTTCAACATTACTTTGGATATATGGGGTCTTTTGTGATTCCATACAAATTTTAGGATTGTTCCAGCTCTCTGAAAAAATGCTGATGGTATTTTGATAGGGATTGCACTGAATATGTAAATTGTTTTAAGTAGCATAGACATTTTAACAATATTTATTCTTCTAATCCATGAGCATGGAATGTTTTTTCCATCTCTTTGTGTCTTCCTCCATCTCTTTTGTAAGTGTTCTATAGTTTTCAGAATGCCGATCCTTTACCTCTTCGGTTAGGTTTATTCCTAGATATCTTATGGTTTTTTGATGCAATTGTAAATCGAATCACTTCCTTGATTTCTCTTTCTTCCACCTCATTTGTATAGAAATGCAACTGACTTCTGTGCATTATTTTTATATCCTCTTTGTTGAATTCCTCTATGAGTTCTAGCAGTTTGGGGGTTTTCTACATAGAGTATGCTGTCATCCATGAACAGTGAAAGTTTGACTTCTTCTTTGCCAATTTTGATGCCTTTTATTTCTTTTTGTTGTCTGATTGCAGAGCCTAGGTCTTCCAGTACTAGTTGAACGATAGTGGTAAGAGTGGACATCCCTGTCATGTTCCTGACCTTAGGGGAAAAGTTCTCAGTTTGGAAGACAACATTTAAAACATTTACTGACAAGAGAGAACTCAGTGTTCTGGGGGCGGGGTTGGGGTGGGGGATCCTATATCTTAAAATTCACAATTCTATCCAAATTAATGCTGGAAGTCCATTC